TGGGGGGTAGATGAGTAGCGGGCGTCTGGACTTGGGTGGGTGGGAGGGCTTCAGTAGGAGGAGGGTCCCCAATGACTTCCGGGACCGGAGGGGAGCGGCCTTCTTGAATTTCGACATCTCTTGAGGGCTGTTTCCGATCTATAGGAGGTGAAGCTGGTCCTCCCTTCTTGGCATTTAAAACATGTCCTCCTAAAACACAAGCTATCAACATCACTAACAACGCCCCTACTCGGATTGCGGGCATCGTCTTTTTGGCAGCCATGGATAGTGGTACGACGTTGTTCTCCCGTTCGGAAGAGCGATTTAGGATCGCAGGTCCACTCTCGATACTGAGGCCTGCACGTTCAGCTTCCTCCAGCAACCCAGTGTAGTTGACCACATTTTGATATGTATGTGGATCCACATTCGGTCTCGGTGGATTGTCGGGTGGTCTTTGCCTCATTTTCCACCAGCTCTAGCTGGGTTCGTGGAGAGGCAGCCTCAACACCCTCCCCAGAGGCAGTACCCAGCAATATAACACCCCGGGAACTCACACAAAAAAGAAAATGCAGTATTATGATGCTGAGTCAAGAAATGAGTTGGCCTAACCTTCCTTGTTAACAGGAAATGGCATGGGGGCAGCGCCAATGAGCATATGTGGTGGCGTTCGGCGGAGACTGCGTGCATGGCCCGCAGGGACGTTCGGGAGAAAGGCTCAGTTCTGCACGTTGAAACCAGCTAATATATAACTTCACGCGCTTAGCACGTTTTTGCTAGTGTTTGGACGCTTGTTTCTTGTCTTAGTGATGCTTGGGTAGTGGTTTTATCGCGTGCCTATTGTAAAGTTGGTATCCGAGTGCCAGTGCGTATGCCTTCGGTTTTGTATATTCGATGTGGGTGGAAATTTCGCTTCGACACGACACGTCTACGTATATAACTTGGAATTCGCGTCAATATCTTATTTGCGCTTGTTTCAAGCTTTCCCTGGCTCCTTTCCGTCCTAGCAATTGCGACTCTGGTGCCGAGTTTGTGGCAGTGGTGAAAAGACAGCGGCTCGGCGAAATCGCTTTCCATATCCCCGGTAGAAGTAGCAGAAATCTGCGTTTGGGGCAGTTTTCGGCAGAATACGCACCCAGCGCATGCTGGTACTCTGTCTTGCAGGGTCTGGCAGATTCAAGTATATGAAACTGCATTTGTGCAAAGATGGGCTACTGAAAGCCACGGTGGTCCTTTATAATTCTTTAGAGCCTTTGGGCTTGCGCCAATAACTGGCTGTAGCATGGTTTATACCACAGTTAGTCTGTTGGAATGTGCAGTGCGACTAGGCACATACGACCCAACTAAGTGTTCAGCAGCTGTTTGCAGTGTTATTGTATACATCAAGAGGGGCCTTGGCGTAGTCGTGCTAGAATTCCTGCTTCGCCAGCAAAGTGGTATGCTCGTGGCGTCCTCTTAACCAGAGAGCCAAACGTTGACCACTTTTCCCAGCATGTCCTTTGGCTTAAGTACCTCTCCGCTTCCTGACCAAGCTTTCTTCCACACTAGCGTGTCAGGCTAACAACTTTAATGTGTACGCATTTCCAGCCCTTTCAACGGGCTGCTCAAAGCCTTTCAACAAGTAAGTCATTCAGCTGACAGCGTTGTACTTCTATGGAGAGTGGGTTACTTCTACAGTAGTGGCGTTGGCAGTTTGACTATGAAGCGAAGGGCGAGGGCCTCCTCGATCTAGTAACACCCATGGGGAGAAGTTACTGAGATGACAATTTCGGCGGTTTCCCTTTCAGGAGAAGTAACATGGGAAGATCTTCATTGCACTCTGAGAATGCACCTCCCTGGTTTCCTTCAAAGGCCTGATGCAGCAATTATATAGCTTGCAACGTGTCCTCTATCTATGCGGGGCACACGGATACTCGTATACAGGGATACGTAGGAGGGAGTTCACTTTGAGCTATCTCTTATGCCTGTACATTGTTAAATTGGAGAAAATTTTCGGCGTATTTTGGCTCCAAAAATGGGCAGGAACAATAACGTTTTACTGTTTGTCACTTTTCTCATTCCACTCCGCTATATATGTACCGGCAGTGTACTCCCTTTAGGCAAAGTTTGACAACCACCGAAAACAGTTTCTGGCTCGTCTAAGGAAATGCTCATTCTTGGTAAAGGCGTCCAAGCTTCTCTGCATGCACCCCTTCCGGAACCTCTCAGTGGTTACACAAATGTAGGGGAGCAGCATCTTATCAGATAAGAGAAACATATTGAAAAGCTTTTGTTTACACAGTTTAACGTAACGGTTAATCATTACTAACGGTACAACATGTGCGGGCAGATTCCCTTTCATATCGGATTAACTCCATAACTGCTACCCTTCCATCATCGGATCGGTAATCCCTCATTGTCCGGTGGTCCCACTGTCGCTTGAAAACTAAACTGACAACGGTGATGAGCTCATCTTAAACGACCACTGCATGCAAGACACGAAACATACTGCCTCAAGCTGTGTATCCGCTGTTTAGCCTCTCTTCCGTTTGACAAACCACGTAGCGAGACACGTGCAGCAAACAGAAGCCAAATTCCATGGTGTCCTCTCTATAAAGTAAAGCTCGTATAGATAAGCTTAGCGTTTATGAGGGTGCCTGCCGGAATACCACTCCGGGAATACCACTGTGGAACAGACTCTGTTCGATGTCAGCAATCTTCCTGCACTGGCGTCGAGTTCCCGCGTTGCCTCCTACCAGAGGCGACGTTGCCTCTTCGAAGGGTAATGCCACCCAAAGCACTAAGACAAACGTGGGGATGTGTAGGAGGGAGCAGCCCTCGCCGTGGGGCAGTAGTTAGTGTGTTGCACTGGGGCTTCGGGTTCGCATTGACAGTGAACCTCCGCAGCGAAGGGAAGCTTTCGTGCTTCAAGGCTGGAACCGGACCCCGCTGATTCCAGGCATTTAGTCTGCTAAGTGCACTGCGGCTTCCTCATCACAATCTTTTCTTGCCTCTCCTGGGCGCACCAGTCGTGTTTTGGCACGGTAAGCCATCGCCGCCTCATTTGCCGGAAACTCACCTCATGTCGGCAAAATAAACCTTGTTTTGAGAATATATGTGTGCAAGCTGCACTACACGCAAGTGCGTAAACATGTTTATGGCCACTCTATGCCACAAAGCGCCGGTGTTTGGTCTACTCTGAAGTCTCCCCAGGAGTCTGTAGCGGGGCTCCCGGACACTGCAGCAGGGAATATGCTGTGTCTTGGACTTCTAGGTCTTTTAAAGTACTTTTTCCTGAATATAAATTTTTCATGCCCGAGGAGCACTGAAAGACCCATGCTCCCTGGTAGCTACAGTTTCAGCGAGCAGTGTAGTTCTGCTTGCTGCATCCCCTCGCCTTCGTCCCTAATGGACTCTACATCAGGCTGCACCCCTGTCCTCTGTGGGGCCTCCTCATAGTCAACAGCCTCTGCCTGTGCGGATCTGCTCTCACGCTTCAGCGTCTTGCATGAAGTTCTGGCGCCACTCCGCACAGAACCCTTGTATACTCATATGCACAACCTACGTCAGGCCTCTCCACCTGCGTACTCTCTACTAACGGATTCCCCGCCGTTGCCTTCTCCACGCTCCATTTCGCTAGCTCGCTGGCTGGCTCACGCCGCCTCTGCTGCCCTCTGTTCAGCCGGTGGTCGGCAGATACTACCCTTGTGATAAACTTGTACCGCGGCTCTTCGGTTGTGCTGCGGCTGATTCTTATTATGTATTCAGCTATACAGAAGAGGTCACTGGGTTGGAACGGAACAGCGCCCAAATGTAGTACGCAGCCGTCGTAGGCTGTGCCTGCTTATATCATCTCGTAGTGCCGGGGTTCCTAAGTACAGCCTCTAACTACCAACATCCCCAGAGGTCTATGATGCAAGTACCAAATCATTTTAGAGTCCCTATTATTAACGGGACTAGTTCATAGAATAAAATAACTGTGTTCCGAATTGACTCCGGTAATGGCTGGGTGTCAATGCCCAACTTATATAGGATGACGGAGGGGATATCAACGGTGATGGCACGGTCAGGAGCCTGACCTAAAATTTCCACTCAACAAAGTCGTATTAATACACATACATAGTAATAATTCTATTTATTTTCCAGTTTTATTTCGAAAGGGACCTACCTGGTACCCCACTAGTGACTAGGTTGTACGCCACACTGCCGATAGTGGCTGCCGGAGGGGGGTAATCCTACTGACCTATGGCTCCATCTACGGTACTCGATTCTTAGAACATGTAGCAGTATTAATTACTTTTCTTAGTTGCTAATGTCATATTCCTCCTATTTAAGGTCACTGAGCTGCTGGAGATCACACCACAGCCACATTGTAATGCCTGTGCACTACGAGCAGTCTGTACACTTGGGGGGTACCACTGCTTCTAATAAACTCCACACCCCAATCTGGCCACGTTTCTACAATTTCGTTTTGAGAAAATGAGGTGCTAACTCATTGCCATCGTGAGGAAGTGACGAGTCACTGCTTTTCCACGTGCGCATGCCATGTCGATTCGGCAGCGCGGGACCTTCAAACGGCGGAGCAGGCTTCTTGTCCACTGATGCTATCCTGGGAACATTCTCAATAAACATTTTCATATGTATATGTGGACACATGGGTAACTGAGAGCAACGAAGAGGCTCATTGCTGAGTCTCTCGCCACATCCACCGAGCTAGCGTGCGTACGCGCAAGGGAACCATGCCGTTCTTGTGTCCTGATTGAGAGGGCAGTACACACTGCCTCTACTTCTTTGAGTTCCTGAGGATTCCGGTTTAGTCACAGACATGTCAAACGTCCCCTAGGACACGGTCTGGTACGAGAGGTGCTTCTCTCCCGTATGAGGCGTTTCTGAGATTACTATAACGTTTTAAAGTAGCGTTCCCATGTTTGCGAAGGAGCTGAAGGTGTGTCATAAAGAGGAGAACGTGCCGTTAGGAATATTTGGAGCATGAAGTCAGAAGGCTTTTCTCCAATCCAGTGGCCCGCGTCGGCCTGGGGTAAGTGAGGTGCGCATCTTGCGTATCGTGTCAGGTGCGGGTCAACTCGAATAGAGGCTGAAAATGCACCAAGGAGGGCATCAACAGATGAGTGGAAGGAAAGAAATGCCTACTAATCGGGATGTGGATGCTGCAGCAGAGGCTTTCAGCCCAGTATCTGCTAGCAGCGACCCCATCTCGGCGGAGAACTCCGACGCGACAGAGCTTTTGCGATCAGGGAATGTGGGGGAAGCAAAGAAAAACGCATCTAAGGAGTTGGCAGATTCGGAATTGGCTGAACAACCCAAAGCAACTGCAAACATTGAAATAGCTCATACTGCAGATTCACCAGGTATTCACAAGTCAGGGCTTGCGGCTGAAAGTACTCACACCAGTGGACGGGTGTCACTTCAGGATCAGAAGCCGGACTATAGAGTTGAAGGCGCTGTTTCGGCAGTTTTCGCAGCAGCTTCTGTTGCTGGAGCAGAGCAAGAACAGGAGGCTCCACCGAGAAATAACCAGGAAGGCGGCCGGGCCTCTTCTGTTCTTTCCAGGATATTGTCTGCTCTCCTGCGGCAACTCCTGCCTTGGGTACTGCCGTCTGCTGTGCAGGGTGCCTCTGCGGAAGACGTTAAAGTCAACATATCAAGAAAACAGGTGACGTTAAGCGGAGTGTCGCTGGAGCCGCAGGAGCTTACAGCTCTTACGGGAGCCCCTCTGCATTTGCTTCACTGCAGCATACGGGAATTGCAGTTGCAGGTGGGAAGGAAAGAAGAGGCTGATGATGTGGCTGTCGCTTCCCTTGCAAGCATAACCACTCCCAGCCAGTGCTCACAGACACCCGCACATACGATATGTGAAGGAAACCCCGTTTCACCGTCAGTTCCAGCAGCTTCAGCAGGTGGAGCGATGAGATGCCCTGGAAAAGGAGCATCTTCTACCATCTTCTTTTCGGCCAAGGACGTTATTCTAGTCTTGACACCAACAAGTCCACATGAGTGGTCAAGACGGCAGCTGTTGGAGCAGGCGCTGCAAAGGCGCCGGTCGCTACTTTACAGTATGGACAACGAGCTGCAGCAGCAACTGGAGAGGCGCAGTTACTTTCCACTGTGTTTGTCCAGCTTAATATCACATTGGGTAGACAGAAACATCCAGTGGGCCTGTTTGGATCTCAACAATTTACACCTCCGCATTGAGTTTCTTGTGCCACCGCTCAACAGCACCAAAACTGCCAGCTTTGCTTTTGCGCTTGGGTTGACGCTTGAGGAGCTGCGCATACGCAACATTCCAGTTGATGAGCCAAAAGGTCCGCCCAAGTGTGCAACATACGAATGTCAGCAGCAACAAAACAATCAAGAAGCCATGGCGGCAGCGTCTACTCAGACTGCTGAAGCTGCTGCTGAGCCATCACCCAACAGCGACCCCAGTGGAAACTGCAGTAGCAACCGGCAAGGCAGCGTATGCAGTGAATTTGAAATTATAGGTTGTTCTGTGTATGTACAAAACGAGCTGCTGTTACTGGCACCTCATACTTGCACTGTGGCAGAGATTTTAGAGAGGCTCGGTGCAGTGCGTGTGGAGCACAAGCAAGACGGCCATCCGAAGCCCGAGCAAGCAACGAACGAACAGCGACAACCTAACCAGAATTACCAAATTCATCGCGGGTGCAGCTTGCAGACAAGCCACCAGAAGAAGCCACGCTGCAGGACCCCCAAGTTTATTCGGAGCCTTCTTGCCCCCGTAGGAGTGCACGTCCTTCTTAGGAAAAAAGCTATCGCCGCGCATCCTTCGGAGAAAGGTGACAAAAGAAGCTCAAGCATGGCTTCATGGACAGGGAGTAGCAGCAATGGAAGTGTCGTCACTGCCTTCAATACAGCGTCATCTGCAGATCCTTCTTACGTTGCTTTTGTTGAGTCCGACTGCGTCGAAGTGACCTTTACACCTGAAGTCGTACAAGGCCTCAGGTGGCTAGCAGCAAACTTTGAGGCGCATCGCAGAGGCGTGGACGCTGCTGAAGCAGTGCTTAGCCTCGTCAGGCCCTTTGTGCCCTCTTGCACAGGCATGTCTTTGTACGAGATTAGTGGGATTAACCGGGGGCAGAGGGTTTAGCAGAAAGACAATTTCAGCGCACGATGCCACTGCAGCCTAGTGCCAACGACACGCTTGTAATGCACACGTTGCTCCTTTGCGATCGAATGATGTGTCATCTAGTCGCTTCTGGCGCATGTGTTTCAGTTCACCGAAACCCGAGGATATGGTGGCGCTTCGCGATTCGTGCAATTTGCCGCCTACAGCGCAACCGATTATGCGTCTTAAATACGAGCAGTAGCAACGTTGCCGTCAGCGCACAGTTTGATATCTCTGGGCATGGGGTAACTGTGGAAGAGATTCTTAAGCGCCGCCTATGCATTGAAAAGGCCGCCACGTACCGTCGCCTGCGACTTTGTCAGCTGGAAGGGACGTTGACACATCAGCAGCTTGACCAACTGATTCACCTTAGAGACTCGCTCCCACTGCCCCTGTTACTGCAGTCTCATGGAGCTTCAAGGCAAGACTTCATGGACCAACAGTCGAAGACAGGCGCAACAGGAGTCCCCAAGGCATGGGGGCGCTGGTTCACTGTATGGAAAAGGCGTTCTCCACAGCAGGGATTTACGACGGAAACCAACACATTATCACCTGGGGAGGCTGGCGCTGCGCTAAGAAAGGGTCATTTTGCTCGGCCCCCTGTACCTCCTCTGTCGCTACAGTCTCTGTTAGATCGACACAACATGGACAGGCAGAGGCACCAGCTGACACCGCAGAATGGGGAGCAGCACCAGCGGAGCCAAGGCGACCATCGGGCAACAAACCCAGACGGGGGAAAATGTTTAGGTGGTCTTGATGATTTCTTCGATGCTCGCTCTCAGGTATACTGTGCCATTCTCGTGGCATTCACTTTCTTGAGTCGATGGCCCTGTTAGGAAAGCCTGGTGCTGCGTGGTTCTTGTTATTCTTCTATCTCATGGTCTGCTGATGTTGTTGGTGCTGAATCTTCTGTGTGCTGCGGTTGATATTTCTGTCCCTTCAGCCCGCCACTGCGCGCATCAGCAGCAGCAGATTGAGGCTCCATGAAGGTCTTGGAGAGGGTTCGACTCCAGCGCTGATGTATGCAACTCTGGAGGAACCTAGAAACCCATTTCAGATTCCTGCCCAGACTCCAGAAGAGCAAGACCCAATTCCTCCACCTTTGGAAATGACTGATTCAGGGGATGCGTACACTGGTGAAGTCCCATCACAGGAGGGCGATGTGAGTGGAGCACCAGCCCCCCCGAGAAGCAACAGTGATGACAACTTAGGAGTTGGGGACGATTTCTCTGAAGAGGATGACACCTTCTACGACTGCTTGGATCTTCAAACCCCCCGATGCACAGCGCAGGCAACTCTTCACAGTGGTGCATCGGGGACTTCACGAATGCCATTAAATACCGTCCAGAATCCAGTGCTATTCTCTGATGCTTCAGAGCAAGTCGAGTGTACGATCTCGGTCTCCATATTCTTGCGATCTGCCTCTTTCGCCTGCTGCTTAGATGAGTTGAATCCTTCAAACGCTGAATCCCAGTCGAAACGACGGGGTCATTTGCAGAAACAGCAGCAAGGAATGCAGCAGGCAGCTGGCAACAGTATTTTGTGCTGTATTGGCGCCTTGCGTGTGAGTGGTGTTGTCGGCACTGAGATGCTCGAGGGTAGCGTCTCTGTAGACCGCTTGGACATTAACTTTAAAGATGGTGGACTTTACCGTGACCAGAAAGTTCTTATGGCCCCTGAAACTGGGAGTGGGCCGATTCTCTCCCTTCAGATTTGTCGAAACCCAATCAATGCAGCATCTGCGCCCATCGTGAATGGCAAAGACCGTTTTCCCCAGAGGCGGGAACCCAGTCCAACAATCAGGAATAGCGGAGGCGACGAACGCCCCGAACAATCCTACATTTTTTTGTCGCTGAAGGTGTGCCGCATTATTTGCGTCGTCGACCCCCTTGTGTTGAAGGAGACTCTAACGCTCAAAAATGGATTCAGTAATGCAGCTGCTGCTGCAGTATCGGCTGCAACGAAGGCATCGCGGCAATGCAGCCTGCTGCATCTGGGCGGATGGACTAACCCAGGTCATCAATGCAGCGGGAATTTCAATGTTGGTCCCTGTAGAGTTGAATCGACATACGGTAACATGCATTTGCAATGGCGCATACTTCATCCCTCTCCGAGACGCCATCAGCCGCTCTGTGATGGCGCATCGCTGCACTACGAGGTCTTTGTGGAGGCTCCAACGATTATTGTCCCCTCGTCAGCAGGGCGAGCGGTTCTGTGCCATCTGGGTGAACTGCGAGTAGGCAACATTGGACACTTGATTCTTGATTACCTTTCCTAGTGGCTTATTTGCACCATTGCCTTGACTGAGAGGTTTCTGGTAACGCTTCGTATTGGACCAGGCCTCTGTGCTGCTCTCATGCCATAACAAGGACACAGTTCACATATTGCACTCTTCAGAGGGTTCCGTTACCTTCCGACACTCAATCTGATTTGTTTCGTCTGATGCTTTTACTGTTTGAGACACTGCGTCAATTTGAGGGAGTCGCGTATTCTCAAGTGGCTGCCCTCCATGACCGTCTGTGATTGCCTGTGACATACGTGCATGCGTTACAGGTTTGCAGTGCCCATCTGGAGCAGGAGCAACTGCTTTGCACCCAGGGAAGGGGCGTAAAAGAGCCGCCACGCCTCACGTTTGCTGACTCCGTCTTTCAGGAGAAGTACATGCATACTTTAAAGACAAGGCGACTGCCTGCAGCTCCAAAGGAAGTAGGAGGAGCCGCCCGTGATTCATCTGACCAGCCTCTGCTGCGGCATGTCAGCCTTCGTACTCACCATGGCTTGCTTCTTAAAGATTTCCACTTACTTATTCACAACAGCATGGAGCAGCTTAAAAGGGAGCTTACTTTGCAGCAGTGTGTTGGTTGTGGAGGATCCTTGAGGAGCAGTGGTTTCCAAAGTACGCATCGACCCACTCATTGGGAGGATACATCTCATGTGAGGCCCCTGATTCAGCAGCAAGGACAAACGCGCAGCGCAAATTCATGCGGCGTGGAAAAAGAGGTTGAGGGAAGCGCAGGCGGTGGTCTCGGGTATTCGGCCACCTGGGGAGTTTGTGGCTCCATGCAGACTGTCCTTTTCCCCTCAGAGTTTGTGGCGGCAGTTGAGGTGGAACAAGTTGGCATTCTGAGCCGAGAAGTGGCCTTAAAGCCTTTCAGACTGGCAGTTCACCCGGAAAAGTGGCGGCGCGGGCGACACAGTGAGTCTCGGGAAAGTCCAGTTGAACTCCTTCCTTCTCGGACATGCGCAGGCAAAGAAGACCCAGGAAAGCAAGAAATACCACAGAGTGTGCGACAGCCCAAGCAGCGTCAGCATCAGGAGCAACAGCGATCAAAAGCATGCGATCCTTGGGAGCAGCGGCTTTGCGGTGTAAAAGTCCACGTGAGCGGAAAATGCAGCGAGGTCAGCGCGTCTTTAAGTCGGCATAGCTGCGCCGTCATGCTAAGGTGGGGAAAATTTCTGTTCTGTCGCAGTAACGATCCGTATGCTACCGGTGTTTTATTGACCCCTGGTACTTGTGTAAACGGAAGTAGTCTGGACAGTGCTTTTTTTGTCTGCTTTCTTCTTCACTATGTGCGTGGCCCGCAGCGCTTTCCAGTCCATGAAGTCTGCTTTCTTGGGCAACGAAGTCACTGCTGTCTCGGCGGGTTGTCCGAGCCATGACAGAACCTTTTGGATGGATGCAGAAGGATCCAGTAGCCTGAATCAAGGCTGTGACGATCTCCAGGAGGGTGAGGGAGAGGAAAGCAGCAGCATTGTTCCAGTCAAGGTTGATCTTTCTCTTGAGTGGGGGAAACTGGGCGTATACTTGCACCACCTTGAGGACAGCATCGAGGGGCAGAAACCGGCAGACGGGAGGGACGCGTCTCCCAGCAGAGTAGGTAAAGATACAGCTAATGCAACAGATTCTTTGCAACTGCAGGCAGCGGGCGTGTCTGCTCACTTCAGCAGCGGAAATTGCGAGATGGTTGGCCGCCTGGAGCTTAAGCAGTTGCTTTTGGAACAACCTTCTTTCCAGGAGGAGAGCATCAACCGTTATATCCTGTGTGTACCTTCTACAGATCTCTGTTCAGCTGCTGAACGTATTGGCGCAACGTTTCCCGGGGGGCCATGCATAGTGCTGGCCTTCACTAACAAACCCGGTAACACACGTGCCCCCACCACTGCGTCTGTGCGCATTTTGCGGCCGATGACTCTAAACTTCCGCCCAACGCCTGTCACCTGGTTCGTGAGCTTCTTGGGAGCACCATTTGAGCGCTGCGTTGACACTGGCGGGAGAAATACCTGTAGTGGGGAAGGATCATGCTCTGATGGTACAAGCAGCCAGAGCCCACATGTGGCCCGCAGCCAGCGCAACACGAATAACGGACGAGTGCGGCAATTCGGGGAGGTGGTGGATGCTACTCTGGAGGGGATTTGTTTGTCGCCCGAAATTGGTGCAGCCAAACCTCAACCTACAAAAATACTATCAGCATCATCGGATTCAAGGGCTCATTGCGATCCGGTTCTGCGGGAGATCCTCGTAGAGTTCGAAAGAGTGGATTTTCTTTGGTGTACCCGTGGAAGTGACAAACCTCTCGCAACGGCATCTGTCTCAGCAGCTTCCGCTAGCCTCCATCTTTGCCGTTATTCGACAAAGTTTACTGGCAGTGTAAAGGATTTCACACTACATTTCGTCATCCCCGGTGTCAGATCCGAAATGGCTGCCATCCCCAGTTCAGGCTGCAGGTGGAAACACACAGGACGATTCCAACGCAGGCAGATGCCGTGTGATGTGCCGTTTGAGCACTGCGCCGACGAGTCGCGCGTGCAGAATCAATTTCCCAAGGCCGCGATACTGCAGGTCACAGAGATTATCGGGTTGGTTCCTGGAAGAAGCTATGCATTGCGTCTTACACTGGAGTCGATGCATCCACTTTCCCCACTGTTTTCTGGTTTTAGCTCTTATCTGAAGCTAGATGTGGGCACATGCCGTGTTGTCTATGTGCATCCCAAGTTTTGGAGGCTCTTTGACTGGATGGTTGACGAATTTATCGGTACTTTGACTTCTCAGCCGCCTGCAGCCTCTCCTCCACGAGAAATGAGGTCGGGAAACAGGTCCACTTCTGAGGAGACTCTGCCAAAACGAATTGAACGTTCACCTTCCCTTGAGGATTTAGCCGTCCGTAGCGTTCTGCAATCAGCTGCAGCAGTGGGGGTTGGTGCTCCCTGTTCAGCAAACAGCGATAAGGGGGAGTTCATGAATGAAGATATCGACACCAGAGTCGCTCAAGAGCAGCCCTTCTTAGTCCCCAACGAAGGACTCCGGCGGATTTTCTTGCTTGCTGATGCAGGGCGTTCGATTGCAGGTCTTCCACCGCTGTTACACGAGAGCCTACAGGGCCCCGGTGGCGGCATGAGCAGGGGCGAAAACAAACTGCATCGTCTTGTACTGCCTCAAACACTACCGTTCGGCGCCTTTCACTACGAAATTCAGATTACTTCCCCTCGCATACTGTTGCCTGCCTCCTCCAGGCCGGACAGCAGAATCAGCCTATGGCCGCCCGTCTGCTTCATGAAAGATTTAAATGGGGACCCCCTCGTTTGTGACGAATGCAGCAGCACGATGAACCGATTCATTGGTAGAGATGTTGCTGCTTGCACAAAGAGCCGAGATTATCTAGCTGCTTCCGAGAGTTCAACCCAAGCCTCTGGTAGGGAGGTGGTATGCTTCGTAGATTGTGTTACAGTATCCAACAGTTGGAACCTCAGCAGGGGGCATGGCATAGTAGAGAGTATCAATGTCGCGTTTAAGGGCGCTAAGGCCTTTGCCAAGATTGGCGACTTCTCACATGGTTTAGGGAAATCGCCCTTTTCTGCGTCGGCACGACAAGGAGATATGCATCATAGAGAGAGCTACACAGCTTCACGCAGGGAAGGTCGCTGCCGTCGTTGCATCCGCCGCGTTCCTGTCTCCGCTCCTTCATCGATGGGGGGGCCGAGCCATTGCCCGTGTAATTCTCCTACAACCATGGCGGCACGGATGATAGAAGCAGCAGCCTCTCCTGGCTATCCCGGAAGGTACCTGCTAGGTAATGCTGACCTAGTGATTCGCATGTTTCGGCCTGTTTTGCTGCGGTCCTCATCACGTTGGCTGCGAGTGGAGACAGGGTGTCTGCCTCTTACCCTCGACGTACATACCTTAGAGCTTTTGTTCGATATCGTGGAGAATAATATTACCGCTACCGACCCAGACATTGCGGCGCAGAATGCAGAGGCGCCCCTACTGACGTCGACTCTTACTCGACACAGTCGTGGGCGGCATGCCCTCCGCGCAAAACGGAGAGCAGAGGGGATATCGATCTCAAATAGTCATGTACGTTTTTCCCCGTGCCCGCCAGTAGCAGAAGCCTCCTATGGAACTGCAACACGCACCAGTGAGGTGGACATAACTGGCCTTATTCAGCAATTACTCGGCAACCACATCCTACAGGGCCTACTAGAGCCTCAGGTGGACTTTATCGAGCTTCTGGAAGAATGGGGGCAAGAAACCATTCTTGTGGAGCTGGTTATTGAAGGTTTGCATCTAGCTGTTTGTGAACAACCGCTCAAGAAGCAGATTGTTTTAATGCGGAAGCATTGTGGTGCATTAAGGCATTGCATCCGCGCTATGGAATGCTGTCAAGGGATGTGGCCAAATGACAGCAATATTGGCGGGTATTCAGTGCAGGAAGGCGGAAATCAAATGCTCTCCGTCTACGGGCTCAAGCACCGGAAGCCTCTCCTATTGTTTCACGCACTCCACTTGAGAGTGAGCCCTGCCACTACATTTTCGCCATATACGTTGCGTAACTAAGCGTATCTGATGCACGGCTTCTCTCCGATTTGCCATATTCAGTTATTGGTTCCTCCGGGTAACTGCCTAATATTCATTTCTGGGTGCCTACTCCCTCGCAGTGCTGGGCTGGTCTGCTGTATGCTGTTTTTCCCTCTAGGCACAACTCCGATCGCTTCGGTTGCAACCAGAAAAGGCCGAGCAAGTGGGTTTGTTATTGCCAAGTGCAACTCTACCGCCACCTTTGACTTCCCTTTTGGCGTTTGGCGACGAGAAGCTAATCATGGACAAGGCACGAACTACACAATCTCCTCCAGTAACAGGGACCTTTGTACGCATGATAGCCGGCTCCTCCACTCTGTTTGCTCCTGAACTTGCACCTCCGTTTGCGGTAATTTTCACAAATAGCGGTTGCGCAGAGGGCCTCTCGCTGCAGCTGGAGCCTCTTGCAGACAGCATTCGCCAAGCGGAACACGATGCCGTTGCAGCAGCCGCAGCAATTGCCCGAATGGACGGATACTTAGCTTCTAAAGCGGAGGTCGCTAGCAATCCGGAACAGAATGAAGGCGAGGACGGGGAGCCAATGGAAAAGCAGCTGTCCGGTAACTCACAAGAGCCGCTGCTTGAGGGGGAACACCTTCTAGTGGCTCCATTTGCATCTCCTTGGATTGATCCCTTGCAGATGCACAGCCAGACGCAGGATTCACCAAGCGACGAGGACGAATTGACGTCACGCGAATCCGTAACCACAGGTTCTGGTGGTGGTGCTACAGAGGGCGGGCGTTTCCACTCGCGTAGGTCGGGCGAGTTTAGTATGAGATCTGTTTCCGTAGATGCATCTTCAGCGCCACTTTTTGAAATTCCGCCGTGCAGCAGAGATTATGAAGTTGTCTTTCGCTGTGGCATAAAGCCTGGGCAGGAGCAGACAAGTGCGCGGCCAAGAGTTCCTCCGCAGTCCTGTGTCCTGCAGCCAACAAAGTTAAGTGTTATGTATAAGTCAGCGACGGCAGTTCCGGTCATACCGCTAAGTGGGGGATGCATGTCTACTGTTTCAAAGAATTGCAAAGCAACGCATGGAGAAAAGATACAGATTCTCCAACGGTTGCTTCTGCAACGGCAGCACAGGCGGAAACAACAGCGTATAGCCGTTTCCTCTAGGAGACCTCGATGTGTGTTGTCTTTGGCCCTTCTGTCGCGCATCAGCGCCTTTTTGTCCAGTAACGAGGCAACCAACAAGGGCATACCTACAGCAGTGGACGTATCCGGTGGGTCAACACCTGCACTGATGCCTCGTAGGGAGAGCTGGCAGGGAATGAGAAGGGTTGGCAGCGTGGCAACTAGCCGTCACAACAGATTCACCTGTCGTGGCAAAAATAAGGTTACAGGGGAGTACACCGCGGAGCAAGCTAACAAGACCGATTCAGCAGTGGGCAACAGAACCTGCAGCATATCCAATGCTACTGACCACACTGAGATGTTAGGTTCAGGAGCATTATCTGGAGGAGCCGAGCCTATGCATGTTGGCAGAAGAGCCGTTACCCTCAGACGCTCTTCTTTTGACTCAGCCAAACTCTTTTCGACTGGGCTTAGCAATAGATGCAGCAGCGAAATGCTGTCGGCTACATATGCACAAGATGCTCCCACCGGTGGAAACAGCCACGAAAGTGGGTGCGAGACCAGCAGCGAACCTATCGAGAGCAACGAAGTTGATATCAACGATATGCTTTCCCTGCGCCTATCATGTTCCCCCAAAGAAGATACAGCGGCGGCAACACAAAAGAGGGAAGAGCTGACGCCTTTGCAACTGAACTCTACGGAGTTAGCAGTGCGCTTTTCTGAGGCGTCAGTGCTCTTGCCTGTGGATAGCGCGAACTGTGAAAGTAGCTCAGTGCTGCTTCGTGGATCGGTCAATTTTTGTCGCCGGGCGGATGATGTTCGGGATCCCCTAAGGCCCCACGGTATATCCAAAGATGCGCAACTAGCAGCTGGCGCGTATGCACATATTCTAAGCGGTTACAGGAAGGGCAAGACCCAGTCGTTTTGGGTTTGTGGACCTTCGAGATCCGCCGCTTCCGGCGAGGAAGTGGGGACAGGAGGTATTTTACACGAACAGGAGTCTTTCTGGCAAGACACGACTCAGTTTGTTGAGAAGCTCCCGGACAGATTTTGCCCTGGAGCCCGAGGTGTTGATGTTTTGGTGCAGAAGGCAGCAGTCAGCTGCCTGCACCAGAGCGCGCCATTACATCAGCATTGCGCCAGTACAGGTGGGCAGCGGACAAACTCAGATTTACGAAATGCAAGGCGTCTGCGTTGGACTAGTCGTCGCAGCACGTGTGCAAGCGCCCCAGCCAAAAAGTCAAAGCGGTTGAAGGTTGAGGAGGCAAGCAATAAATTTTTGCTCCCCGATGAGCTGAGGTGTGCTGCGGGGAAAGAGGAGACGGAAGCCTATATGAAGCGTGTGCGTAGTGATAGTCTATCAAGCTTACACGCTGCAGGCAATTCTTTGCACTTTGCCCCAGTCAGGAGCCTGGGCAACTTCCAATGTCACGACAAGGTTTATGGGGGCGCTGCACCTCATAAAGACTGTTTGAAGGTCACTAAGTCAGCATCCAGCGTTGCAGAAATTCACAGTACTCCAAGGAGTATCTGCAGTGGCTTGCAGGCACACATAACGCGTGTTTTTATGTCGCCTGCCCCCCGCTGCCACCGGCAGGAAAGCGATGTTGCACAAATTGTATCAGATGCAGCACAAGGAGGTAATGGCGACGCTTGCGGAGTTACCGATGACAGCCAGCAGCAGTACAGTGTGGGGCGCGCGCATGAGAGTTGCTGCTGCTGCCTTATGAATGGAGAGAGCTCCAGAAGCGTTGGGATGGGCGGAGGAACTTCGGCGCTCGCTTGCGACTGCTGCTGCCATCATCCACAGGAGTACACATCTCTTCAACTCTCCCCATGTGAAGTTGAGTTGTCTCACCTGGATATGATTTTGATGTGGCACTGTGCTGCAGAACAGACAGTGCAGTTACAACAACAGCAGCGGAGGCAGCAGGCGCAAGTGACTGTGCTGCAGCGGCTTCTCCACCGCAGCGCGATTTTGAAGCAACGGCTGTGTGCGAAGCAGAGGCTCCTTCATAAGCACCTCATGGAAACTGCTAGCCAGATTCCAGCATTACCCGCATCAGTTGCATTGAAGCCACCGTCTGCGGTTCTTTCTGCGAGTCAGCGACCGGTCCTTGGGAGAATGCTATTTCCAACCGCAGCCGCTGGTTCCTCTCTACAACGGAATAGACGACTCCCTCAAACGAACCCTGGCCATCGCTACTTGTCTGCACGTTTGTCGCTGATGAGAGTGACCCTTCTTGACGATCACTTGGACTGTCTGAAGGCGCCTCTTCTCCAGCTGTTAGTGCCCAATTGCCGCTTCTCTCAGGCCAGCTCTCTCTTGCCTCCTCAAAGTACAGACACGCCACGCGTTTTTCGGCAGGGGCGATCGCAGAAGCAAGAAATCTCCTCTGTAAGTTTGTTAACTGTATCACTCCGACTGTGGGCTTTCAATCCTCTAACCGTCGCATTCGAACCTGTGGTGGAATCCCTTCCCCTTTCGTTGGTAGTGAGGGAAGCACCATACTCATTAATGCGGGCCACGTACAGCTCATGTTGCGACGACGACTCTTTGGCATTAAATGTAGGCCAAGGTGTTGCTGGCAGCAGGGGGGAGCTGCACAAGACTTGGCGGTCACCACCAAGTCCTTCTACCCATGGTAATGACCCGCGAACACTGTTGGAAATGGCTTCAAGCCCAGCTACCACCCCAAATGAGAAAATGAGCAGCAGCAACGACAATGCCAACAGCAATTCGACCAGCAGTGGATACGATTTAGCGGGTGCCAGGTCTCCACTTCCTTCCCGCAAAGCCTGTGCCATCGTAAAGCAGCAGACGCAAGGGCCCAGACCCAGCGAGCCGGCTACGACCTTTTCAGCAAAAAGCTCAAGGACAGGTCTGTCGCTGGGCGCGCACATGTCAGGAGAGGCTACATTGAGAAACACAAAGCTGCCAGGCAACCAGTCAATATTTTGGGATTCAGGAACTGAGGGAGCTATGGATGCTCTCGGCTGCGTTGAATGTGTATCACCCGGCGATGAGGTATCTTCGTCAAGGCGATACGTGGGTATCTCAGTGTCCTCTACAGCAGGAAGCAGCATAGAGGCGAACTTATCTCCTTTGCTTTTGCAGTCCGTACTACGGACCATATGCAGATGGCACTACGAATTCACTCACCAGGTACAACACCAACAGCAGCAATGGGAACGGAAGGAATATAGCAGTTTCATCTTCCGTACTACCGGCGCTAAGTTGCCAGAGATGTGCAGCCATTCCCCTTCACAGCAGCAGCACCAGGAGCCTCTTCAGTACCAAGAGGAGGGTACACTGACGTACGTGAAGAGTCAGTGTACGGGTGGACAAACGGCGCAGCCGTGGAGCGCGCAAGATGGCCCGGATGCGAGAGAACAGCGTCTGAGTGCTGAAGCCAGGCGTCTTCAGAAGCGTCCATCTCGTTCCATAGATGCGTTCCCTATTCCTGCCTACCCCAATCAGGACAGGCATACCGGGAGGCACCACAGTTTGCCTGCCGCACTGCCCAGAGGTGAAACCGATTGGCGTTTTGGCATCCAACTGCGCCAGAAGGAGAGGCAGTCAGTTCTGGAGGCGGATGAACCAAAGCAGGGCAAGCTGTTTTTTGCGTACCAAGTTGTAAATCAGACAGGGCTGTACCTCGGAATCCTCCTCCTACCCACACAGGCGGATTTCGGGGAGCATGGCGAGGCCCTCTGTGGAGCAAATGCTACTCAAGTGGCGGCGGCAGCGCAGTTGGGACTCCCACAAACTCTACGGCAATGCAGGCGCTACAACAAAAACGTAGGGGTTTACGAGGACGACGAGAGCAGCGGTGGTAGCCGTAGCAGCACAAGTGAAGCAGAAGCTGGACGCGCTTTATCAAGCGCCCCAATTTATTGGGACTTTGGATCTAATTTACAGAACGTGACTAGTGGATCTCCCGGATCGGTCGACGCCGCAAGTGAGAGTGTTAAGGGAACGCTCTCTTGCCCCTCTTCACCCTCCTCTGACCAAGACGGCAAACCAGTTCACTTTGAGGCCTCGGTAGATTCTTCAAGCTGGGGCTGGCTCCAGCCTTCGGAAGAAAGGGCACTGACGCAAATGAAGGTTTCTGTCGGAACAGCTTCATCTGCTCACGTTGCACTGCAGCTCGCCAAGCAGCCCACGCGAGCGATCCCTTGGGTCACGAACACTCTCTGTATGACAGCTTTGCAGGCGGAGAAGTGGAACAACGATGAAACTGATTTCCACGCAGATGGTTCCTGCAAGCGGTGGAAACTACGCATGCCAGTACCACTTGACCGAGTTGGAGTGTACATTCAACCTCTGGAAGACATGAAGAAGACTGCCTTCAGCGGAGCAACTGTTTCAACATCTAGTGCAGACGAGCAGAAAGTTCCATATGTTGTATGCCGTCTTATGGCCGATGGAGGAACGAAACAGCTTCTGGTGCAATCACAGGTGTTATTGCGCAGCTCTTGCAGCGTTCCACTTCAAGCTAGGCTGCTTCCGTCCCTTGAATCCTCTGGCATTGGTCTGGAGAAGAACCACCGAACCTTCGAGGACAGCGAAGAGTCGGAACAACTAGCCGATCTTTTGGTGAAGCCAGGGGAAACGTCGGCTGTCCCCGTAGACTGTAAGGCCATACGTCGCTTGTGTTGTGGCATCTGCGTAGCGAAGTCATCTGATGAAGAGAAGATCAATCGCATATATTTTCTATCCTCTTATGACGTGTTCGTGTGCCGTTGCCGTTTCTGTGTAGTTTGTTTTACAGGAAGGCTAAGAATTAGGCCTGTGCACGCTGGGGAGGCATACAGCTGGTCAAAAGATCTAAGTCTTGATATGCTTTGGAGGGTTGTAGACGGAACGGAACAAGAGAAGAACGCTGGAAGTGGGGCAGGTGGGGAGGCGGGGCAAGCAGGCTCCAAAAGGAGCCTTCCCAAAACCGGCATGCTGCGCTGCTGCCGACTCATAAAAGGCAGCAGGAGTTGCCCAGCGAGGGACCCCGTGCCAACCGACGGGGTGTCTCCAGAAGGGGGCAAGTGGGAAGGTAGCAGGAATCTGCGGGAGCCTGATTATCACATAATGGTCCGGTATTGTCTTGAGCGGCTGGTCCACTTGTCGTTTTCTTGCATACAGCTAAAACTGTCCTTTGAAGCTCCTTTACAGCTTTCAAGCAATATTCCTTTCCCAGTCAGGTATGAAGCCACATGCCCCCCATGCCCATGTCCTTGGTGGATTTTGCACTCTTAATGCATGGACACGCACGCTCGGGTTCTGACGTTGATATTCATTTATTGATTGCCTAGAGGAGTATGCTCCAGTAACCTTGTGGTGCGGCTGCAATTTTAATAGATACCGTATCAGCTGTCCGCTGGTCCTGAGGGCTGGAGAAGTTCCACCAGGAGATTCGGAGGGTGTGCTTCAGCTAAACAAATGGCAGCAACTACATTCTTTTCCTTTATCAGGTACGTTTGTAGAGTTTTACTACACGCATTGTTGAGCATCGAGAAGTGTACTAGGGAATCTTAGTTATCAGCGAGCGGTTGGAGCGACTAGTGGAGCTATTCAATTATTAGCGTAATCTGTCAGTAGTAGTCGTTTTCAGCCCTGATCTCTAAGTACATGTGCTTGCTATAGTACATTTTGCATCGTCGGTTCAGCAAAGGATAATCCGAATTGTGATGTTCAGGAGTGGCATTCCTTTCTATCTCGATAGCAGAAGGCCGATGGACGAAACGGACCCAGATACATCCGCGACCCATTCAGCGGAGGCGTCCTCCACCAGCCTCTCCCCAAGCTGCGGCTGCCGGTCCTTCAGCTGGTTTGGCAGCTACAAAAGGGAGTGCCCAGGCCCCAGCGGACTGCGTCACAGGAAGCGGCACTGAGGCTGGGAAACGGGAATCTGCAGAGGATAAGATGGCAGGGGAAACCATCGTCGAGGTGAGTCGTCTCGTCCAGTAACGCCTACTAGCTGTTACACAAGCACTAAGCTTCGGATGCTAATTTTAGGGCATATTATTTCGCACTGTTACTGCAGGTTGAGTGCCTTGACAGCCAGCATCGCTCTGCCAAGGTCTGGCTGATCTTCTGTGACTTCGGCGGAGGCTCCCCCTGTTTGCTGCTGCATTCCCCCATATGGCTGGTATCTCATATCCAGTGGGCATTGCAGAAGCAATGGCTTAAGCAGCCACAGCAGCAGAACCAGGACGGTGCAGAAACACAAATAACGGAGTTGCCTGCTGTTGAATACAGCGTAATCCGTCGGAGCAACCCGTCAGAGCTAGGGTGGGCGATGCAGGCTGTTTCAGCAGCAGCTGCTGCAGTCGATTTCAACAGACACACAGAGCAGCGGAAGCCCGCTCAGCTCCCAAACTTCACAGGTAGTGGCGGTGTTATGAAGGACCCCAACGAGGGTATTCGACTACTTGACTTCACTGTAAGCCACAATTCATTTTGCGCTTGGCATGACTCTTAGTGCTAGCTTGTGAGCTGTGATATTAGGGTAGCCGATGGAATGTTCGCTTTTAATGGGGGTTAGGCAGCTACAGCATTGTACTGGAGCCTAGTTGAGCGTTCATGCATATTCTGCTGGTCGTAAGCATATCGGTGCAGGCTTTCTGGTGGATGTTCTATAGTTTACTTTTCACGGTTCCATCTGCTTGGGATGAGGACCGTTTCCATGTCATGCAGGCATCATCAATTCGAGTGGAAGTCGATGGGATTGGTTGCTCCCAATTTTTGGACGTGTGGGGAGACTTTCCCAGGAGGTTGAGTGTGTCAGCCTTGTACACCGAGGACGTAGCTGCAGGCTCTAAAGATAGGGCAACAGTCTCCGAATGTAACGTACTGAGGCAGACATGCAGCGTGCCAGCCAGTCCATGCGAAGAGAGGTCTTCTCCACTTGGGAGTGCATTGGGGGGACCGTGTATAGATATTGTTGCCACTATGTCTGAAGCTCCGTTTCCTCTTTTGCGTCCTGTTCTGTTGCTGACGCTCTCTCCAGTTTACACAATAACTAGTCAGTGCCCGTTTCCCATCAGAGTACGGCAAGCTCGCTCTGGCAGCCACTGTAGTAGAATCGATGCCGGCAGCGCCGACTTCACGCTGCATATACAACCGCAGCACACCGAGGCCTTCGTTTGGCAGTATAAGGATGGCAGTCGATTTCTGCAGCTACAAGGGTGAGTGTTTTGGTTGTGAGGTTTACGGTACATATGCAGTTGCCTAGGGCAGCTGGCTGTTTGTCAGTGTAGTGCTGCCAGGGAATTAGGCATGCCTAAAGCTCATTGCGAGAAAACCATGTATATTTTTTCTTGGGTCGCTGGCGCAGTTAGCATGGATGCATACGTTTGGTTGCATGCTGATTAGGTACGTGGTGTGCGTTTGCTTGCCAATGCTGCTGTGCTTATAGATTGATGCCCACTCTGTGCTGGCTTCAAGGGGGCTGCAGATGCCGGCTGTCTACGCCTTTTGACGGAGGATTTAGGGAAGCAGTGTGGAGCGCATGGTCAGGCTACTCCCCCTTTTGCTTACCCGGGGATGATTGGTGTCTTCGCCTACCATCTGCACCCTCGGTTGCGCCTATGACGAACGAAGACGGTCCCGCCGCGTCTGACTTGCCGCTGCGTTGGGGTCAATGCGAAGCAGGGAATACGGGAAGTGGATACGAACAAATGTTGGAAGGGGAACAATTTCCGATACCAGCAGTAGAGCCGCAAGACCTCGTGAGGGCTCTCTTGCGTCGTGGAGTCTCTGTAAAGAGCAGTGGAAAGCAGGCAGATACGAAGCGGCCAATCCGAGGACGGCTTGCAAGGCGAGCTTTCTCGGGTTCGCAATGCTCAGCCTTGCGTTTATGTTCATCAGAGGGTCCAGCCAGCACCGTCAACTTGACAGTCCAAACTGAAACATTTGACATGAGGGATACTGTTTCCATTTGCAACAGTACGCCGTTACCTTTACTGCTTCGCCAATGTCACCACGGTGACACGGAAGGCGGCATGAAAACAGACCCACAGCCCTACCAGGAATCTGCGGTAGCTCAGAAACTCGGTTTGACGGAAGCTGCGGCCTTTGGCGTGGACTCTGTCGCTGCGGCTGTGGCAGAGCTTTGGGGGGCAGCGACGCAGGGGGAAGGGTTGCAACAGCACCAAACCAGCCTTGACACCGCTGACAGTTTTGCTAAGCACGCCGCTTGCAGTATGGGAGACCACAGCAGATCGTCTCAACTCCTCAACATGCTGTTGGAGGCCCAGCAATGCGGCGAAAGTCAATCGAACACCAAACGGCCGCCTGGGGCTTCCTCCTTCCACTCCTGCGAGAAGGTTTACATTTCGGCGGCTCCTCATGAGGAGGGCATTCATGCGCAGTTGGACATGCTGGCTCGCGTTGCCCAGGCCGTTGTTGCTCAAACCGCAGCGGAGCAACAGCACCCACAGAATGAGGTTGACAACGCCGGCGTCTTAAGTGCTGGGAAGCATTGCTGCTGGTGTATCTTTGAGCATGCTGTGTCGCAGGAGTTATGTGCAATGCGAGGTGAGGCGACGGAAGGAGCTGAGATTGGTGAGGGTGATGCAGCAACCTCCAAGCTGTCGCTTCTACCACAGCTCGTGCTTCCAGGCGAGACTGTCTTGTTTACTTGGGATGACTACCGCTGCTTGTCTTGTATTGAGCTTACTTATTTTCCGTGGTTGCAGCAGTACAGTGAGAAGAATAGTTCGGACTTCACAAAGGAACCCTGTACCAGCAATCGTGACGAAGCAGTCCCGCCTGTAATGGAGTATCCTTCTTTCGACACGCCCTTTGTTGTCTGCATTCCACTTCGCCCTGATGTGCGCGGAGTTGTGCCTCTCTCGCCGTTGCCCTCCTCCAGTTGGCCCATATTCAGAGTCGTTCGCCGTGCTGGAAGTCTGCTTCTGCAGATTGCACCGGCTGGCGACATATTGGGATTGACGAGTTCGTCTCCCCATGGGGTAGCCCAGCCGAAGCATGAAGGTACTAGGCTTCAGCTGAGCACCAAGAATTCCCGTGTATCGGCTGGGTCAAACGTTGTGAACTCACGAGCTGGAAGTTTCATTTCGCCTTGGGCTGACGGGGATTCCGACCAAGTGCCCGCGTCACGAAGTGATGTGGATGTCGGCACATTACTTACTGTTCCTCGGTACTTCGAGCTGCCCATAGTGAACAAGGACCTGACGGCGGTTTGTTCTCGTTGTAGGGAAACCAGCAGGGGCTGCGATGGTTGCGTTCCCCCTTGGTCCTTTGCATCGATGTGCAGATTTGCTGGATCGGTTGTGGGGTCATACGCGCCTGACCAAGGGGGTGACCCCGCTTCTGCGCGGGCTTTTCATCCGGTCACGGCTGACATCAACGGCGGTCATACTCGTAATCTGGTGCTTCCCATGCAGCCGACGCCTGATCCTCCCATTTTTGAATTTCGCATTGAGGCCCCGCGTCTGCAGCTGTCTGTTCTTTCGCAGTCAGCGATCACTGACCCCCTATCTCGTGAGGTATGGCAGTAGTTCTTTTGGGCATTACGGGGATTCCGGTAGTAACAACTAGCACTTGGCACTCACTTCAGGAGCAGTACAAGTGCAGCGACCGCCCAATTGGGCAGTGCCTTCTTGAAAGAATGCTGTGAGGGACGTTATTGGTACACGTACGAAAAACTCTCCGGATCCCGATTTCGAAGCTTTCTGTGCGTGTCTCATGAATTTTTCTAGACTCTCCGCCTTCCCGAGGAGCTCTTTCTCGCTACACTTGAAGGGTTTTCTGCCGCATACATCTGCAGTCCATTCCACACCGCTGCAGCATGCAGAGTACAGGAGTTGCAGGTAAGAGCGCGTGGACGCCGTGTCTGACAACTGTTCGGAAGTTCAGGTGGGGGTTCTGTGGCCAGAACGAGCACTTTTTCACGCACCTGGCTGCGATTTGCAGGTTGCAAGCTTCCCAGGTGTCTTTCTAGACAGGTTTAACTTGAAAACGAGCTCTGATGTGAGTGATACCATGCTTGGCTTGGCTTTCGCTCAGATTGACTCCATGCACTCCCAGGCGTACTACCCGGTGCTGCTTCAGAGGGCCCCTCCGATGCCAAGCGAGGTTGGATACACCAACGTACCATATTTGACTTCAGCTATGCCAATCATCTGCCAGGCATCTTGCCTCGACATAATTACCTCCTAGCTCCTTTCTGCCGTTTGTTTTGCAGACCGGTGCAGCCATCGATAGCACCACTACGGAACCCTCTCGAATAACAAGTTCCACACACAAAAATCAAGAGGAAGGGGACGGCGGTGGAGGCGGAGGGTCGCTGCACGCAGCGGGCCGTATGTCAAAGGATGATGGCGGTGCCCTTGTTGAGTTCTTGCTGCAACAAAGGCTACCATTTTATGGCACTCGTGACGACGGTGTTGTTGTGATCGACAAGTGCAGCCTCTCTCTGAAGGTTAGACCTCCCACAGCAGCAGTTTGGCCCCATCTGTCGCGTTGCGGAGTTGCTCGGTGCATGCGATGGAATGATCTGCATGTTTAGCGTTTCACGTTATGTGGCAACTGTGTTGCCTGGACTTAGTGGCCGTTACACATCACAGCCCGCGAGGACATTCGAATAATGTTTCCTTCTGGAGTCGCTTTCTTTGTACTCTGTAGCCCGTCAGCATCCGGACCGATTTGAAGAGCGTTTACATGGCATCTGAGGCAATGAATTGCTGGACATCAGCCTGGGCTGCTTCCATCTCAAGTATGAACCTGCTTTATCCTGAAACGACAGTTTCCACTCCGGTGTTCCATCATCAAATACGACCACCGAGACCTTATGAGGAAATTTTGGAGACGTCAGATTGGCGCAGAGGAAGCGCTTCGGCAGATGACGAAGAGTTAGAGTATCACTATGATATTCGAAGCGGCTTATCATGGGCTTGCAAAGGCTGGAACTGCCGTCCGTCTCCTATTTCTGCCTTCGCGTCCCAGGTCGCCGGGACATGCTCAGCAGTTTTCCCCATTACACTTGCCGTCCGCCCATGGTTATTCAAGTTAACGAAATCCTCATTGCGCCTCTCCACGCTTAATCAGAAACGGGAGCAGCGGTACATTTTTCGGACGCTCACGATAGCAAGCACTTGCGTGGTGCTCTCGTTCAAAGCGGACACGGGGGGCAATAGCAGTGCGTTGCGCCGCTCTGTAGTGACCCTTTCCTCTCTTGAAGATGCCCGATTTGAAGTGGATGGATTGCAAGTGACAGGGCGAAGACTAATGGGCAAGGTCCAGGAGTTGAACCAGCACAAGAGGCCGCCCATGCACCAGGACTGCTCGCGCCTCACGAAGCTGACAGGGCACCACAGGCACCCAACTGTCTCCTTGAGGGATGTCGCAAGGGTAGTGGGGCATTTTTATCAGCAGCAGCTTTTATCACACTTGTCCAAGTTGCTGGTTTCGGTCGATCTTTTAGGTAAGCTAGGACACATGACGTGAGAAGACGACGGTTTCCTCCCAGCGCCCCACTGCGTTCATTAACGTTGTAGCTACCCGTAGAACAGTTTATTGGCTCCTAATCCTAGAACTTGCTTTTGCCTGCTGACCCAGTGAGCACTGTTTTTTTAATAACTACCGGACGACCATATAACAACCGTCTGGCGGATGTTTTGTTTGTTCACTGTATGCGGTGCTGCGCATATAGTAACTCTACTTGTATTGCTCATGCTTTCTAACGCAACATCAATAAGTACGATATGTACTTATTGTTGCATATATTGAGGACGTACAGCTGGTGGAATGCGTTTTATGCATATATTGAGGACGTACAGCTGGTGGAATGCGTTTTATGATGCAGGTAACCCAGCTTTGTCGTTTGCGCACCTCCAGGCAGGTGTGTACGCACTCGCAAAGCAACCAATGGCAGCTGCTGAGACCGGTGGGGACGTGTTTGAAGGGATGATGCGAGGAGCAGAAGATTTCCTAAAACATACTGGTCAGCTGTTTACATGCTTGTTAGGGGTGGCCTCTGGTCTATGCAGGAAACACTCTGCGTAAACGGTGCCTTTCCGAAATGCCAATTTTAGGATTTTTGCACACTCATTAAGACAGAGCTTTCCAACCTAGCTTTGACTGCATCGCTGACCTTACTGTTCGAGTCTTCCCCGATCAAAGGCAAGCCGGGTGATGTGAAGCACTAACAGTAGCCTGCGCTCCCACTCGAGGGTGTTTTACCGAGACCTCACTAGATTTCGACCCACCGTGTATGTTACTTGACTCGAACGAATCATTTGCCCTGCAGGTTACGGCTTTTTCGGGGGTATAAGCAGAATGGCAGGAGTTGCATCGGACTCCCTTGGAGCACTGGCTTGCGACGAAGTGTATGTGCACACCAGGAAACAACAAGGACGCCATAAGGCGCGCAACGTGGAGGAGGGTCTCCAGCAGGGCGTAGAAGCCCTTGGGCGGGCTCTAGCTGGGGGTATCACAGGTACAAAGCAGCTCGCAGGGACAGGTGTCGTGCACCAAAATTTGCGAGTTTACATTTAAGCAGGAAACTGCCAGTGCTCTTCTCAGGGGTTCTGTGCATAGCAGTGCTTTCCCCTGTGTTTCTTTGGGCTTCCAGGCCTTGTGGAGGAACCCGTTAGAGGGGCTGCTGAAGGTGGCTTTGAGGGACTCTTGCGCGGTGCTGGAAGAGGCATTGCCGGTTTCCTTGTAAAGCCGTTGACAGGCGTGCTAGATTTAGCTCAGAAAACCGCTGAAGCTATAAAGGTAAGTCTTGTTTACTGCATGTTGTAGGGTCCCAATCAGTCACCGGCAGCATCATCCCCATTCCCAACACGGTTTTTGCACCAAAGCCCTGGATCGGCATGCTCTTTGCCCCTGAAAAAGCTCAGTGAATTGCTGTGCACCGCTTCTTTTAGGATGCATCTCAAGTCGAAGGGCATCAGCGTCCAAGGCTGCGTCTTCCTCGCCTCCTCCTTGGTGACTTACGCTTGCTGGTTGCATACGATGCTCAAGCAGCGGAGGCCAAGGCAATTTTGACGGACGCGGAAGGGCAGTACTGGTGAGGACCATACAGCAGACCACAGGCCTTGCTGTGTACGCTTCCGGGTACCGGTTCTACTGATCTGTGGTGCTTGGCTAAGGAATTGTTTAGACGATATCTTGCTCCCGTCGGTCAAGCTGTCGTTGGTGAATCCCAGGACTGGGGCTGTTTCCACGAGGGAGGGAGAGGTATGGGCGTTCACTTGACTTTTTCTGTGGATTTCCACCAGATCATTTTGGGTGGATGGTGTTTGTTCAGGGAGAACTTGCCAGTCCTGTTTTTCGCTTTGGATCATCGTCTTCAAGCACTCACTGTCCTCACAGCCAGCAGCATTTTGCTGTTCACACACTACTCGCGGAATCATAATGAGCTTCGCTTCCTTGCTCCACTCTCGTGTGTGTTGGCTGTTGGCCACTGTAGTACGCCAAACAGGAGCACCAGCAGCAGCAGGAGCAGGACTCTATCAACAAGCCCTAGTCACCGTCACGCTGTAGTGCTGCAACTTCGTCAGGAGGGCGAGTCGAGGGTTTACTATCAGCAGCTTACCTACTCAAACACACGTATCCAAGTGCACATTCTGAATTCCTTGAAACAGCTGTTGCTTCAGTGATATGCTGCCGCACCTTGTCCCAAGCACTGTGGGTGCACAAGGTGCACTGCCCAATCATCCGAAGCTGCAACAGCCCAAGTGGGTTCGGCACTTGATCAATCAAATTGTGTTGATGCAGGACAATTGAGTAGTTCTCGGCCTCATCGGCTAATCAGTTTATAGGTAAAGCCAATTACAGGCTCTAGGAAGCTCAGTACTACATATAGCCCTCTTTAATATGGCGAGGCATGGACCATGAGTATCGCTGTTCTATAGTAAATATCTGTGAGGCATTCGCAAGAACGGCTTGTTGCTGGCCCGCCTGCCTACCTTAGTTGCGGTAGATGAGTTGAGAAGGCTGCATTCTCTAATAGAGTTTGCCTCGTCACTCTCTCGCCTAGGCAGCTGAGCCGCAGCTTCCAAGGCAACCCGGTCTCCTCTCATCAGAAGCATAACCTCATCTTCTCGTTAAGCGACGAAGCAGATCCGTTCTTTATAGTTTGTGAAGAGACGATATTTTTACCAGAGTTGTGGTACAGAATGTGTCTGTATATACTCTAAGATCGTCGTCGCAAAGCGTTCCCGGACTCGAGAACGAGCTCTCAAACACTCCGAGGATAGCAAATCATTCAGTTAAACTTTCTGTAGACTACTTAGCTCCACTGCGTGAACACCATCCTGAACATGAAATTCAATTCAAATACCGGGCTTCGTGCTAACGCGCGCGCAGCGGTAAATCGGCTAGCCAAAGCTGAGGTGTTCATGAATGCACTCTCAACTCGCATTGGAGCTACAGACGGTTTGCATGATCCGTAGAGAAGGCGGGTAGCTTGCCCTGTGCCGGTATTGCACCCTACCTGTCCTTCCCCATATGCAGCTCTTTTGCGAGGGCTTTTTGCAGATCAGCATATAACGGCTACAGCGGAGGCACAAAGAGCTGTCGAAGCTGTTTCTGAGGCAACACAGAGGATCAACTGGAGACTGCAACGGAGGACACACTCTATATCGGTGGGCTTGTCCAGCTTGTACACTTGTTCATAATCTACCTTGGACGATAGCTAATAACTTGCAAATGCGCATCACTCAGCGTAGTCACAACAGCTACTTGCATCATGGACTGTCGGACGATGATGAGTATTTAGGAGGTACACCAATATCTATACACTTAAGAAGAAGTCGTTTGCATGGAGGTCAGGAAACAGGCTGGCTCATTGCTCTGAGGTGCTAAAAGTATGAACGATATTTCGAGCCTGACATATACCAACTACGCAATGAGAAATCGTGCGCCCTCAGCAAATATCGCTCGAACAATGCTAACGCCGCAACACCCCCCACCACCCCTTTTAATGTCGAGTGAAAAGCGGTTCGAATGTCCCATTTATAGCTGAGCGCGATCCAGGTTCTGGCGCGGCTCCAGGTAGAGAAAGCTTGTCAGCTGTGAAAGATTCTTACATTAGCGCAATAAGGGAAACACAAAGTTGAAAAATTGTGGCAGAAAGCCTTCAAAACTGCGTTTTACGGAACGCGAGTTCCAAACAAGCACACTATTGGCACAGGGCCCCAGCAACTGACGTGGTGACGCCAAACGGCCCAAAATAGCGGTTGGTGGCAAGGCTGATAGCATGCCACATTCAAAATAAGCTCATCCTCTGCAATAATATTAGTAGAATCAAATGTGCCTTGCTTCCGAGCACCAACTGCTCTCCACATTCGCCCGTGGGAGACTATTCGGAAGGGCCCAGTTTGGGGCTGCGGCTGTTGAATGTCTTGAATGAATGGAAAGTATTTCTTTTCTTACGCGCTGCAGCATCACTAGAATAAGCGTATTAAGCATCACACGTATCAAGGAGACCAGTGCAGCGTATCCTTTCGACCTAGGCCAGCCCTCCACAGGTGACACGCTTGTGCATCCTTGCAAGTAGCTGTGGTTTGACCAACAGGACCTGTTGTTGCGGCTATGTTAAGTGCTTATTATCGATGACATAGGGGCTCATTTTGTCTGCAAAGGGCAACGAGCTTCTGCATTTTTGGGGAATGTACTGGATCTGCAACAAGTAGCCTACGGGGGCCACGGTATCCGGTGTAGGCGTCTGTTCATCATTATTGCGGTTTGGTTGGCTTCATCGTAATAGCAGGGGCGACCTTTATATTTCTCTTTGCTTACTTCCTCCTGCTCAGCTGACCCTGTGTCCGTGTGTTTTGCAGTCCCCGAAATGAAGTCCCAGGCTGAAGGAGGGGAGGAGGCTCAGCGCGCTGGCGCTTCGCCCCATCAAACACCTGGAGGTCATGAAGAAGCTTTTGATGAGCCTGACGATGAACTGGAGGAGTTTGACGAGATAGGTCAGTAGAGTATTTCCTTCGAGATAGAGCTGTGGCCAACAACGGTTACATGAACTCCAGATACAATTCACCCTGACGCCCAGTGCCTGGGCGTCAGGGTGAATTGTAGTAGCCCAGGCACTGGGGCGTCTGAGAGTTGTGTCTCGTCTGTTGGGTAGGCGTAGCAGAGCTACAGAAACACGAGTGGACCGCACCCAACTAGGGCACGTGCCTAGTGGGCGCGCTTTCTAATTGCCACTACGACCCTGTTGTAGTTGGCTGGAGTGCCGAGTTTGTTGCATACTTATGGGTTTGCAGAGAAATAGTGCTAAATATGGGGATTTTTGCAGGCCTATGTGGGGATTTAGGATTCTGCGACTGTGCAGGTGGCGAAGTGCCGGTGGATGCGGAGGTGAAGCAGTGGAGCGAAGACTGGGACGCAGCGGGTAATATCCTATCCGCCTATCATATGCCTACAGTGTTCTTTACGCTACTATTTGAGAAGTGCCCAGTAGTTGTCGCAGCAGATGGTGGAGAGTTCGCTCTATGCTGCTTTGCAGGGGCTGCCGTTTCCATGTTGCGTTGCTTGCTCAGGATGGGATGATGAGGACGCAGATGATGAGTTTTTAGAACGCTTGCAGCGAGAGCTAGAGACGTTTAAAACCAATTACGCCAACAGGACATCCCAAATACGAAAGGCGGCTTGATAACAGCACCCTTCTTGATGTAGACTAGGCATCGCTTCGAAGCCGTTGGGCGTGGGCCCTACTGCAGTAGGAAGTGGATAGGTGTTCATTTAGCACTGCATTGTCCGAACGGCTGCTCCGCTCAAGGTCATTAAGACCTCCTCCTGCCCACCCAGGCACCTGGGGGCTTTCCACTGAACAGCCCCCAAGTGGTAACTTCCTACAGGGACATCCAGAGGCAATGGAATAGTGGCATCTCCTCTTTCTCCCCCAAGAGTCGCTAAATAGCCCGAGGGTTCATTCTCCGTAAACAGCTTAGACGTAACTGCGGACTGCACCCGTGTCTGCTGGGGGCGCGGTTTTGAGGGGCCCTTCCCGGTCCGCACCATTTACCAACAGGCGCGCGGTGCTGCAGGCTGCACTAGCAAGTAGTGATCTTCTGGTGAGAGGCTGCCAATTTGTGGAGTCGAAGGTCGGCGTTGCCACCGTGCAGTGAGCAGTTGAGCTGAGCAGCAGCATGCCCTGCCCAACTGCCAACCCTACTTTGCACTCCGCTGACCCAAAACGCGCCTAAATTTTTGCTTGCGTGTATGAGAGGATTCACACGTAGAGGGGTTCTATAGCTCATTCTGTACGGCGTTGGTAAGTGTAAGAATTTGGCGGATGGTCCCTCGCTCCGTCTTAGTCTAATCCAGCATAAAGTAAGCCGTCAGTTGTTGTCTACAGCGTTAGCGCACGCAGCAACACAGACCTGTCTATGGTTGCATGATGTCTGCCTTGCACGGCTAGCTGCAGCATGGTGGACTGTAACCCACGCCAGGCCGCCTACTCTCGCACAGTTCCAAGAGAATGGGCCGCTATGTTCAGGAAGCCTGGAGGCACGGGAATGGGGTCAGGTACTTTTACGGAGCGCTTCTTAGTCTCCCTTGACTTCCTTGCATGTAGCGATAATTCTGGTAGGAACGAGGGCGCTCGTTTCAGGGTCGCACCTTTGTGCGTGCAGCCAGGGTGCAGGTGTCCCCATGCGTTGTTCTTGGACATAGATGGTCTGTTGCATCCGACACATCATATTTCTATGAACGCAGGAAGTGCAGTCTCTCCCAATTCACTAAGTATGCATGCAGGACGGCAATCACCTTGCGACGTCTCGAAGCTGTGTACACAACTTTCTGGAGCTAATTCTTTAATGAGTTTTACACATTCAAACCTAGGGGAGATGTTCTGAACGGCCAAGGTTTTGTGGTGCAGTGAAGTCAACAATGCCAACGCAGACGCCCGGCCCAGGAGCATGCAGCGCTCATCGCCTCCGGCGGGGCTGGGCCCTCTGTGAGCGCCTGCCTGCATGCTCTGCAAGGCCCAACGTGCAGGCCCTGCTCGATCTTTAAAACCAGACCCAGATGACTTCATGCTTAAAGAAGATAAAATAATATGCATTTGCCAATAGTGGCCTTCATTGCTCCTTCTATGTGCCCACTTACACAACTGTACCCGGAACGGGGACAGGAAGGCTGGAGCTGTGCCTCAAAACCTGCGTAACCAGACACAACGAATACGCAAGGAGCATTGGCTAGTCTTTGGTTTGCTTCAGGCGCCATTAGGAACCAAAGACCCCCAAAGCACTGCAGCTTTGTATTTCGAGCAGTCTCATCAATAACGACCCCAGCTGACCTGAGTGGTTGGTGACGAGTGACAGCTGCAGCAGGAGCCTTGCCACTCTTCTACCATATAGAGCTGCTGAATACCTGGTAGTGTCTTTGTTGTGACGGGGTAAACAGCACCAACGCATGGCGGCACAGGGGAAGTTGAACCACCGGATGCGACAAGGGCAAGGTGTAAGTGCAGCAGCAGCAGCAGAAACAGCACTGAGAAAAGGAGAAGGCTTACGGACGGCATACGCCAGGTATGGACGCCTTCTTTGAGCGAGAGCCGAAGGGCAAGGGTTCTGCAGCCCCCGAACGCCCATTGCTGTTTCCTCAGCAGCCCGAGCCGCAGCAGCACCTACAGCAGGGGGACGATGAGGTGGATCCTCTTGATGCTTTTATGGCCGGTGTGAATGAGACCCTTGTCCGAGAGAAAGCAGAATTTGAGGAAAAGCAACGAAGGGAAGCAGCCGGAGAAGGGAGACAGACGGAGAAAGAACGCTTTTTCGACGACGAGGACATTGCAGCGGAGTCAATTGAACATCTCAATGCTCAAAAGGCCCTTTCAGTATGTGTTAGGAGAGGCCAGCCTGCCACATTCTGGGGTGAAGGGGTGGGGAACTGAATAATATGAGGGAAGGGACGGAGTCATTTTATATATCGTGGGGATGGGCTCCCATTGCAGCTGGGTGTGCGTGGTTTTGTGCATGCTTGCTGGATGCAGCAGGCTGAGGCCACAAGAGGAAAGAGGAAGGCGCAGACGCAGACCAACAGTGGAGCAACAGATGACGAAGATGAGACCCGTGGCCGCTCTCTTCCCGTAGTAGCCCATGACGAGTAGGCCTCTTTACCAGCTGGGCTCTCTGCTCTTTGAATCCATGGGGAATAACACTTAACGTCGCCACAGTTCGTCTGCCCCTGGGCGCGTCTTAGCCTTCGACTCGTTCGTCGGATGTTTCTGCGACCTGTACAGAATTGTATATCCCCCTTACACAGTGGACCTGTACAAAGAACACCCAGACGTTACAGCCCTCAGTTTGGAGGCCGTGGCGAAGGTTCGCGATTCTTTGCAGCTCCACACCACTGGCAAACAGGCGCCCCGACCGATTGCTTCTTTTCTTCACCTTAAGGATTCCATTCCAAAGGTCCGAATCTTGCACTCACCACAGAAGCAATACTACCAATGATGCAAGCTGTAGCCATAAAACCACATTCTTGGAACCTTCGCTTGATGCTCTTTCGGAGTCGCCTGAGCGACTTATTTGCCTACAGATGGTCATCTCTTGCCTTTTCCTACCTTCCTTTGAGTTTATCTGCCTCCTCCTGAAGGTTTACGGCATGCATGTTAAGGTCGTCTTGTCGTTGTGCTGGATTGGGGTTCTCTATTCCCGTCGGTGGTGGGAGGTTGTTTACTTGCTGGTTTTCTGCCTTCTGGATTTTTGGTCCAGTCCTTGTGATACTGGTGTTTGTGCTGTGCGCGTAGGGTCTGTGGACGGCACTGCAACGGCGGGACTACCGCCTCCCCACTGCCGTGCAGGCAGCGGCCATCCCGGCGCTCTTAAAAGGCAGAGACTGCCTGGCTGTGGCGCAAACAGGCAGTGGCAAGACAGCCGCTTACCTCATCCCACTACTAACGCGTGTATGCAGTCTTAAGGAAAAAGACAACTGGACCGCTTGCCAAGCAACGTTTAAAGACCCCTCGAAGCAACCCCCGGCGAAGGAACAGCGGGCGGGGCCCTCAGCGGTCATAATATGTCCTACCAGGTGCGTTATTGTGGGTTGTGTGGATTCCAACATGGCCAGCATCTCTTAGCAAGAGCCTGGATCGTATGGTTTGGCTGGACGGTTATCGGTGGCCTCTGAGCTTTGTCTTTTTGCATAGTATGACAAAAAACAGGGGTGAGGCCAGTGGGCCTTGGGTCGGTGACCTGGTGTATGTTCGTTGTGGGGTTTGGCTTTTAGGGAGCTGGCGGTGCAAGTGGACGGGGAGATCCACAGCTTCTCTCGAGGGGGGGCGGAGTTGGATGTGAGCCGGCTGTTGTTGGCAGGAGGCTTCGACAAGACGGAGCAGTTTCGAGCGCTGCGGCGGGGTCCCGATGTTGTGGTCTGCAACCCGGGACGCATGATAGACGTCTGCAGTCTCAAAGGCCTCAGCGGCATTTTTCATAAAGTTGTCATGGCGGTTGTCGATGAAGCGGACAAGATGGTTCAAATGGGCTTTGAGTGCCAGCTGAGAGATGTTCTCTCCTCTCTCAGGCCGGACAGAGTTACCTGCATGTTCAGCGCTACCATGCCTCGCAAGTGTGAGGCCCTTGCCAAGTAAGCAGCAATAGTAGTAGCAAGAGTAGAAGCAACAGAAGAGATTTACTGGCCGCCTACGGTCGTTGGCTCCGGTTCTCTTTCGACCTCCTTGGTGCGTAGCGGGACGCAGCCCTACAAAACGAACCAACGCTCAGCATAGCAGCCCGTCTGAGTCTCTGGTTTGCAGCAAATTTCTTCGTAACCCGATTCGGATCATCGTCGGTGAGGGAGGACAGGTATGCTTCCCGCCTCAGGCTGGCATGCCGTTGGGCTGTACTCACACTGCACCGTCTCCATGCATGCTTGCCTAGGGTTTGATGCATCTTGCAAATACAACTAACAGCAGTGTTGCTGTGTTGATTCTTACTGCTATTTGCTGCATTGCATCTGTGACTCATTCCTAGGCTGCACAAACGGTTCACCAAAGGGTTCAAGTATTGGACGGCGAGCAGGCGAAGTTCGATTGGCTCTCTAAGAACTTGCTTCGGCTACTTGCGTTGTCGCAGCAGCCTGAGAAGCAGCAGCAGTGCGGTTCACGGCCGCCGCCGACAACGGTAGCTGAAGCTGCTGCTGCTGGAGGAGTCGTCTTTTGCAACTCTCAGCAGAGGGTGGAAGACTTAGCCTTCCTGTTGGAAGGGGTTCTTGCGCAAATAGTAGAGGCGGACGCGCGGTCAGCACCTGGAACAGCAGCAGCAGAGACAGAAACGGCGCCAGCTGGGGACGCCGCATCTCGAGCAGCAGCTGCGCGTCTTCTTGGGGGCGAGACTTCACAAGACCTTCGAAAGAACGCCAACCAAACATTCAGGTGTACGTATGCCCTGTAATGGGGGGATGGTAAATGCTCTTACTACCGCGTATTTTCACTCTCTTCTTGCCCACTAGTTGGTGTGTAAGCTCACTGGTCCACGGAACGCTTCAGCAGTGTTTGCTTTTGATAGACAAGTACTCCACTTTGTTTTGTTTGTGTTGCACTGCTTTTGCTGTTGCTTCTGGTTCTGCTGGACAGATGTGGCAATACTGCACGGCGGGATGCAGCAGGGCGAACGTCTTGCCGTGATGCGTCGCATGCAGCAGCACTTTCTGGGCGACTCGGGTTCGAATCGGACCCCATTGGTGCTGGTAGCGACGGACGTTGCTGCACGAGGGCTCGACTTCCCTCCGGCTCTCTCCCTTGTTATTTGTTATGATGCTCCACATGATCCTGAGGTATACGTTCACCGCATAGGCCGTGCGGGCAGAGCTGGCCGGTCGGGTCTCGCATGCTCGCTATTGACAAAACAAGAAAAACGCCAAGCGGCTTTTGTTGTGGAAAAGATGGAGGTGAGTGGATGTCCTCATAGAACTTTACCTCTGTCGGATACCGGCTACCCTGTTGTGCATGTAAGGTTAGGGGATTTGAAATATCGAATCCCTACTCTAAGAAGAGCTGTCGGGCATGGTTCCTGCGTATTCGTGGTTCACACCGCTGTCTGTGTTGCGGTTTTTTCAGATGTCCGGACAAACTGTCCCACGGTCCTTGTTAGACTTCGCTATGCAGTTTCGTAAGCGCAGTTACAGGTTACACAGGAATCTGTTCAAGACAGCTCGAAATGATGAGCCAATAGGGCTCGTCATTTGTCTGTCTGCCTCACCGAGCCTTACACCTCTGCTCTCCCGTTGATGCTCAGCATTCAGCTGAGGTGATGTGCCTTGCGGAGGGGCAGCCAGTTAGCCTGTTTTCTCACCCAGAGCTTCGTTGAATCTGAGGTGGATGCCAGGTCCAAACGCTTCACAAGGCACTCCCGTGTAACTGTGTGTGACTTCGTTGCTGCAGCGGCCTTCAGGGAGGCGCGGCTCTCCGGTCTCCGGATGGTCTGGCAAGGAGGCAAGACTGGCCGGGAGCTGAGGCAGCAACAAAATACTTCTTTTGGAGGATTGGGGTGCGGAAGATGGTATTTTGGAGTTCAGTTACAGTTTAGTGGTTTTTCCACCTTCTTGTGGGGTCCCCAGTAGTCAGTGTCAAGAAAGTTTTTGGATCAATCTGTTTTGTTTTCGTGAGCTCGCAGATTTGATACGGGCTGTCGGGTGGAGGGTGCGGAAGGTTCACTAGCGTCTAACGCTCCATCTATGGCACAAGCTGCAGCGGCAGCAGCTGCAGCAGCTGCAGCCGCTGCTGCAGCTGCAACTCGACCGGTCACAGCGGATACGCCGTCTTCAGGAGGTGGAGGGGACATTGCCCCTAATGGGTCTGTATCTCATCCTGCCGGCGCGTTGAGCAACAAGAGAGGCCGGTGGGATAGCAAAGAGCAAGACAGCGGCAGCAATAGCACAGCAGGCGATGAATCAGTAGCGGCTGTTGGGGGGTCAGAAGGACGAAAGGGTGCTCTGAACTTCGCGAAACGCGAGCAGAGGCGTCAGCAGTGGCTCTCTACACTGGAGGCCCGAAGAGACCAGAGGCAGCAACAGGAGCAGCAGCGGAACCGAAATCGCCGAGAGAGAAGTCCCTCTCCCCGCCGGTCCTTCAGAGAACGTCCCCAGCAGACCTCGCCGGTGAGCCAAGGAGAAAGAGGGCGCGGAGTGTAACTGCCAGCCGAGACAGTGATTTGGCATATCAGATCGCCTCACTGTCCTGTAGTGCACATTGGGAAGGCATATCCAGTTGCTTAGGCAGGACCTTCTCCCCGTATGTGGAGGGTCTGCATAACTTGTAGGAATAACCAGCAGTTGGAGGGGTTTTATCCTCGCTGCCACTTGCCAAGGACCCGGCATGCATTGCCCGTCTGTAAGAAACGGAACAGCACAGAGGCACAGCACAGGCTGTGCCTCATTGGAGGATGTAGTAGCTGTCACTCATTTGTGCATCCCAGGCCATAGTTGTTCCCGCGTATGCGTACATTGCACGCAGTCAGTTCGAGAGCTCTAGATATGCAGCGTGTGTTGCATATGAATAATATTGCATAGTTCGTTGAGATGAGCCACGAGCTACTACTCACAGCTGTTTTTTCTCACTTAGCAGCTTTTAGCGTCAAGGAGGAGGAGGTTTTGTGTTCACTGTGCTGATGACACGTACTGACGACACAATGCGGGGCTGAACCGGTGGACCGGTTTCGCAGCTCCATTGATTGTCGTGCCAGCGTGAGCTGAAAGGTGTGAAGGGCTGGAATATGGTGACTCTTTAGTTAAATAAACAGAACAACAGACAATTCCAAAATTCGAACGGGCTGGTCAGCCGGCGAGGTCCAGTCCACATCATCGCTGGTGCACCCGCCAACCAGTAACAGAACACCGCAGTGTGTATGTGTGTGTGTGTGTGTGTGTGTGTGTGTGTGTCCTGCCGAGTGTTTGTTAGTCCGTCAGTAGTTACATTTCGAATTTTGTTTACACTAGCTTTGTTGCGCGCCTTGATTAGACTCTGTACTCAAACGAAGTCGGTTGATGGCCGTCGTTGCCAAGAGCCGGCAACGCGGAATAATGCGATACACAGCAAAGCAACCGATGAGACTATGCGTGTAAATACTAAGTTAGGCATTTTAAAGACCACAACGGTGACATTTCAGTCTGCATATGCTGAGCTGTTACCAGCAGTGAATCCGTCGACACACACTGCAGGGGCTGTGGCGGACATCTCGGTGGCTTTCGAAGCCCTGGGTGGGCCAGTTTTCTATTGATGATGAGGTTCTGAACAGTTGTTTCCAGGAATTTCCTCTTTGCTTTTGACAAGAGCCATAGAAGCAGCTTGGGTGCCTTCCGATATTCCCGTCGTCGTGCGTTGTTCTTCCGTATCCGTTGACCATGACGTATCTTCCATAAATCTTAGAAACGGTCAGCTGGAGCTTTGGAGGAGAACTGTGAAGCCCCAGGCGCGGCGTAACACTGTTGCTGTGGGTAGGGCTGGACGGGCTAACAACCTTGCAAACATATTTTGGGGGGACCGCTGCATGATCTTCACGGGACTGGGTGCCCCGATGCGAGTTCGGTTTAGTTGCGTGGCCTTTGTGCCTCCAGGCTCCCAGCTGGGAGTTTCGGGGAGCCCTGAATTCCTAGGACATTGGGACCCTTCGCGGTGTCTTCCCTTGCTACCATACAGTGCACCAGCTGAAAAAGGACTGGAGCCGAGCCTCTGGTTTGCAGATGTAGAAGTCGCCGGGCGATCTCTGGAAGGTTCTGCCGTTTCGCCCGTTGTTCAAAGTGAATGCGCCAGCGAGCAACGGAATGGCCCCACAAGCGCTGACGATTTGTTCTCAGGTCGGCTCATTGCCGCCGTGGCCAAAAAGTATTCATCCCATAAGGGAAGCGCATGCATAGGGAGCCTGCCCGATATGCGCTGCACAACTGACGATGAAACATCAGGCGTAGCGGCGGCCGCTGCATTTCGCATTGACCATCAGTCACCGGAAATTATTGCTATACTGGATAGTCACCCACTCAAAATGGTGCAGTTCGAGTACAAATTTATTCTGTGGACTCAGAAGAATCCAGTTGCACCATACGTTCCGGACACGCCTGGGGAGTCATTTCATTGCGTTGCATATGGCAGCCTGTTCTACACTTGGCGCACTTGGTTGTTTCCTCCACCTCCTGCTCAGCTCACGGAGCCTCCCTCACAGGCAATGCAGATTATGTGGGAAGGCAGTGGCCCCGGCAGCAACAGAAAGTTTCACTTTGACCCGATGGACGTCATAGTGGATAAGTGCGAAAGAGGCAACCTAGAAGTGCTTTATCTTTGCAAGATTGCAAGGTTCGACGATGCACGAGGTACACCCGAGGCACCCGCCGAATCCACACTGATTTGCATAGGTAACAGCATTAGTTGACGTACCTTGATTTGACGCACTTCATAGAGAAGAGTGCCAGTATATATATGAGAGACCGCTGGCCAGGTCTCACGCTTGTTGATTCCGAGTTACGTGGATTCACACTGAGGCCTCCAACTGCTTGCTGTCATCGCAGCTGGGAATGTAAATGAACTTAATTACACGGTACGTTTCTACAACAGTATCAAGGCCGACGGGAGCATGCACTACTCGAGGATTCTACCTAAGCTGTATGTGGGGTCATGCCCCCGCCAGGTCAAACACATTCTCCAGCTCAAGCAGAACTTGAAAGTGACCGCAGTTTTCAACCTCCAGACTGCAGAAGATATCAAGTCAGCGGAACACCACCAGCTTCGTTGCCTCTGAGTTGCGGCTAGGAGGATGCACAAGGGACCAAAGATGCAATGTGTTGATTCAGCTGAGTAGCTGTGTTTGTTTTATATCCTTTCTATCATGGCTAGTGTGCTGTGGCTGCTGGTATTGTGCATGTTGCTGCTTAGGGTCAATTCTCCCGACCCCATTTGTAGCACGCGGACGCCAGAAGCAGTGAGCCACATTTACGAATCCGCCGGCCTGCGGTATGTCTGGATGCCTACAGAGGACATGAGCGACGCCTGCCGAAAGCTTGCAGTGGCACAGTGTGCACTGGTATTAGATGCCTTAATACGGGTAATGCGTTTCTATTCCCTCCCGACAGGCAGAGCACTTAGGGAGAGACTCTTTTTGCACCCCGCATCGCAGGTGGAATCGCTAGTGCCTCTGTGAGGATGTGTGGCTGTGCTCAGAACGGCCACACTGTGTACGTTCACTGCAATGCTGGAGTTGGAAGAAGCGTTGCAGCAGTCAGCGCTTACCTGTGCTTCTGCGTCGGCCTCGACCTGAGGAAGGCTAATTTTTTTGTCAGCACGCGACGACCCGTCGCCTACTGGGACGAAAAGGCAATTAGAGTGGGCCTTTTAGACTACCAGGCTAAATTTGGCAAAGCGTTTAGTAGTTAGCAAATGCATGGACCGTCCTAAATGAATGTAGCCAGCACCACCACTGTTTCTCATTTAATGCCGTGGCCTGCTTCTGTCCGCCCCGGTCTTACCAGCGGGACTGTCCGTAGCGGCTATTCAGTGACGTTCCAAGATATGTGCCCACAATTCCTAGGTTCAACTAGGCCAGGTATATACAGCTTGCCCTGCGGCGCTGGCAACAACCATGCTTGTGCAGCCATGTTTCTTCATCGGCTGCAGTTCCCGCATACGGCTTCTCAAAATTATATGCGTTCACTTAAATTGATCAATTTAGAATATCTGCGCGACATCAAGGAGCAGTGAGGTATTAGCTCTGTGTAGCAAACACAGCAATCAACTGCAGTCAACTAACCGTCGCATTCTGCGTGAAACTGTTTGCCCCATCCATGTAGGATGGTACAGTTGAAATGTATTCACTCATCTTACTGAAATAACTGCCGGGAAAGACTTCATCCTTTCCGGGGGTGATTCTGGACGAACTTGAGTAAAGCGCCAGTGAGATGAACCATGCAAGAGGCAGTGAGGAAAAGCGAATGTGTTCAAGCCCTGGCATTCCTTGGGTTGGCTGCTCTGCTGGTTAGCGAAGGGCCCCTGCGGTAGTACCGGCAAGTAGGCGAATGGACCTGCTACACGGTCTGTATGCTGCGCGTGTTCGGTTGCCCGAAGAATTTTGTGGATACAGTGCAAAGTTTGTACCGGCGCAGCGCTGACTGCAGCAATAGTATACTTCAGGATGTCGCTGTTGGCCTTGCCTTCCTCAGATCGGTATAGGTGAAGAACTCCAGCCGGTATGTTTTCCTGACTGAAGGCTCTGGGGATTGTTTTTGCAAACGATACTGCACCGTCGGAACTCGGCGTCAGGATGTATCTGCCATCAAGGTTGAACGGTTGATACGCAGTGTAGTGCTGAGAACACCGAAGGGAAGCGAGACACGCCAGTTCGAAGCCGTGCACCGTTAACGAGCTGGGAGCATTTGCTGAGCAGAAACATTGAATTTCTGACCCTCAGCGTAGCTTTTCGGTTGCAGGCTACCTTGGGTGGTGGCGGGCACTGAGCATTTGTCAGTTCTTGCCGGAACTTCAATGGCAAAGCTCCTGCAGTTGGACAAATGCCTAAGCGGCACAGTCATCGAGCATCCTTCTATTTCTCGGCCGCTGTACAACAACTTCGAGAGGATGTTGCGGTGGTGCTCGTGCAACTGCCTGCAACGGTGAGATCCTCAGCCTGACACCAGGGGTGAAACTCCATGAATATGCAACCGTACGTATCCAGCGTAATCAGTGGCGTGGGGCCTTTCGTGATATGAATGAAGCTCCGCAAAAGAGCCACGGCAGTCCCTACAAGAGAGAAGGCAAATTGTACAGCTTGCGTAATCTGCACACGCGGCTTAGGTGGAGGTTTCGGCGCCTCGGGTGATCTTGGGTCTACAGGCCAGCCTAGGGGCCTAAGTGCGCTAGTAATTGCCCCCTGTTCACAGGTAAAATATTATGCTTAGTTGTACTGTCATTTCGAAATTACCTCCATTGCGCTGAGCGACGCAGAGATCTGTCGAAACATCGACGCCGTTGGGGATGTCCTCAGCGCCACCGATATTGCAGTCTCTAAAGCATGCTGTTCGCTGCAGTTCAAGTTGTTTGCTGTGCAGTACTCCACCGCGGCTCTTTGCATTTGGGCAGTAAACTGACGGACAGCCAAGTTGATTGGCTTCCTCGCCTGCGGGGGTAGGAGGGAAATGTTCTGCATTGCGAACAGCGGGGGATCTTCCAGTATAACCTGATCGGCTGGTTGGAATCCAGGGCCGCTGTACTCCTCCCCAACTATGTAGCCGTCCCTTCTTTGTAGTTCTTCATCCTCGGTTGGCTTTGGATCGTGCTCGCCTTGTGAAATCACCCCGGCAGAGGAACGTTGTTCATCTGCCTCTCTGAGTCCAGATACCAGTGGCAGTTTTATTGTGTCTACTAAGAATGACAGAGGGGATTGTTTGTTGTGTGGATCGTTGAGCAAAATGTCGTCCGTCTCAGGTGTTCGGTTGGGCTGCACATTAGCTGTTAACACGTTCAAAGCACTGGTGCCCAATATAACATCTGGGAATCTCATGGACCATGCACTATGCCCTCCAAGTCCAATAGATGCCTTTTCAATGCCACTCAGAGGCCGCTTCGCCAAATCGACAACTACTGGCAATGGCGCAATCGCCAGACGCTGGGTGTCGGGTACAGTGTTGCTGAAGCCTGAGACCTCCAACTGTTTATAGTGAGTTTCCACGGCTGATCTTTCATCAGGATAGTACAATTCGCCCTGCAGCTCGTTTCTCGTGTTCTGCTGCGGCTTCAACAGCTTGTGCCGGAGGTCCCAGATGTTCGAGGCCTCGCCACGAAGAAATGTCCAGAGAATAAAGGTGTGTTCTGGCTTACAACCCGGCTATATAGCTGCGCATGCAACAACTAAGTATGCCTACAAGATTATTCTTACGGAGAAGACGGGTGAGGCGTGTCACTTTCCTCATAAATGGGTGGAGTGGTTCTGACGAATACGGTGGCATGGTTCCCACTTTGCGCCGTCTAGACCAGAAGGTAAGCAGCACCTTCAAGTTACTTACGTCGAAGTTTTACGTGAAAATATTACACAACAACAAAATACACCCCACGTGACAGGTTGCTTGTACTGAATTCGCAGCGGTGTTCTGCTTCCGCTACGGGCTGCCGACGCGTATGTACACGGCTCACACACACACACACACACACACACACACACACACACACACACACACACACACACATACACACACACTTCAGGTTCCCACATGGAACCCTATGAAAAAGGTGATTTTTTTCAGGAGCTTCCATTACTTTAGAGGCAATGCTTATACTCGCATGCACGTTGGAAGAAGTGTAGAAGCTCCCTTGCCACATCATTAATAATTACCACTGGAAGGGTTATGAGCTTTGATTCTTAAGGTTCCACAACCCAATATTTAAAATTAGCCTTGAAAACACTTTTCACTGTTATCGTTGGAGCGTTGTCAGCGACGAGGCTGCAACACACGGCAACGAACGTGGACCCGGCCGGCGCAAGTGCAAGATGTCCAGCATCACTACACGGAATGTCGGTGAGAAGCAGCCCGCCGATCTACCCCCAACAGCCAACAATGGGAGGCGGACAGTTGTCACCCATAGACCTCAAACAAAGAAACTGTCCTACGCGCCGCAGCGTCCCTTGACGTTGGGAGGGAGTACACAAGTAGTAAGACCTTGGAAACAGGAATGCTTCGACCGACGGGAAGAAGGCCTTATTATTGCAGAATGCACGGAAAGGTCATGGGCTGTGCTCACGGTGCTTTCACCGTGGCATCCTGAAGTTTCATCCAGCCCTGAACCAGTGGCGTCGTGCAGAATCGACCCTTCTTGCGGCTGTTTTGTGCGCTGCAGTGCTTGTGATGGTCAATGTGTACAGTGCAGAATTACGAGACTCCCGAACTATGCTAATAGGTGACAAAAACCAGGTCACTGCGGAATATTCGAGGAAGCTATATTCAGCCGGCTTCCCCTCCGCGCTATTCACTACAGAGGAGACTGTGGCATTCCTTTTCCCGCTACTACAGCAGCGATTGTATTGTTGTGGCCATCTCATATCTATGATGTGGGATAAATCTAAAGAAACAAATTCCCAACCTATTCAACTAAATATGCAAGTGCCTGTTCGATTCGGCAGCATACATAAATATTTGCCGGGTTTGCGAGCAAAATGATTGGTCTTAAGCGGGAGCAATAGACATGATCTATGCCGTCTCCTCGTCCTCTTGAGGCATTTGGAAATACCTCAGTTCGTAGGACGTTTTGTTGTTCGCAACGACGCGCAGGAAGTCGCGCAACATCTGTTTTTTCAGGTACTTCTTCACCAGGTACTGCACACAGACACACTACACGCAGGTCCAAAATGAGCGGCACAACAGGGAACCATCGGCCAAGCTCTAACCTGCGGGAAAGCGTTGGCAACTGCTCGCAATAATCAAACCGGAGACCATTGCGCCAGCTGACTCCCCTACTTTGTGCTTTCCAGATAACAGCCAATATCCGGTTGGACCGCAAGGGAGGCTGCGTGCAGCACACGACGATATTGAGCACTGCCTGCTCGGTCTTACCTTGAGGTAACGCTTTGAGAATGGCAGCTCGGCGGTAACATACACCTTTGCTTTTTCCCGAGACACTTCTACTTTTTCGCCCAAGTTGTTTAACTTCCCTCCCACCTTGATGCGGCTCTGTAAGAACCTCTCCTGTACCACAGCACAGAAACAGCATGCTACGGGCAATTGCGGGCAGCGCGATCGCTCACAACTCTTTAACAGCTACAGTTCACACCACTGCACAGCAACCAATGCTACAAAAGTTGCAGACAATGCAGGGCTGCCCTCATGCCAAATACTATCTGGCTTAAGGCAATTTGACCGCACATTTACCGAGCATGGTCGCTGCGTTGGGGTGACACGGCCTGTGGGGTGGGGAATTCACCCATGGAAAAGACCATAAAGCCCGCATGGAACAGTGCAGTGAAGTTGATTAGATCCAAATATGGCTTGAAGAATAACTTCGGGGCAGACGACGCTACAATGTTGCGACTGCGTGGCCATGACAAAATTCCAGGGGACGGGTAGGGACTGTAGCACTGAAAATCACAACTTACCAAGCCCTTTGCCTCGAGGATGTTGTCATCAACAGGCTTCTGGCAATCAATAGCGAATTTGATCTTTGTGGCCTTGCCTGCTGCGGAGGCCTTCTTCCCTCGCCCCATTTGGTTGCGGGCTTTAGGAGCGACGGATGCTGACGCCATTGTGGCCACACGAGAAAACGCCAACGAGGCACCAGCACAATCAGCTTCAAATGAGGAGTCTTTTCTGTTTTGTTTATCTCAAGGGCCAAATATGAACGCAACACGGTAGCATGCGCTGGAAGCGCTGCCGGTGCGGGGCGTGCTAACCCGGCGTACAGGCAGCCCCAAAGACAGCATGTAGTAACACTTAATTGCCTGCTACTGAAACTTTAAAATAAGGAGAACTCTTAGTATGTATTTTTCCATACTAGGTCGTGTTTTCATGTGAAGCTGGTCTAAATCGACGTTGGATCCAAATCCGTTGCCCCATCTATGGGAGATTCTGGTACCCACTGTTCCTTCCAGGTGACAGCCCATCACCACCAAATCCAGCAAATGTGGTCAGGTTCTCTTTCAATTTGTCATCAGTGATTTGACTGGCAAACCGGCTCCATACGGCGACTATGCACATTGCCCGGATTGCTGCAGCTCCAGGATTCCTTTCTCTCTACTTCAATAAGACATCGCTTCTCCTGTGCCGTACGAGTTCCAGTCGTGGGATTTTCTCGAGTCCTTCATTACCAATGGCATCGCAAGATGGCGACAGCGATCCCGGAAGCACCGTTTCCGTTGGCCTGGGTGAGGGCAGCCGCAGCGAGATAGATTAGACCAGGCCACATAAAAGAAGCACGATGCAGCATTCTACTTGTGGAATTCCCATAGTCACAGGGCTTATGGTGTCTCTGCAAGCGAATTGTGGGGATGCTGCAGAACCTTTCTGCTTCAGGCAGTTCGATGACCCCAAGTATCCAGGAACAAGGATTCCGTTGGACAAGGATTCATTTATGAAGAAGGTGAGCTCGCGGCAGGACAGGTAGTATGAAAATAGGTTGCTTCTTCAATGAGTTTAAAGGCTGAAAGTGAATGTGTTTCCCGTCGTGCGCCCGACAGCTTCACGAGGTTCTTCGACAGAAAAGCCCCCCGCTGGTAGACGGCTATGCCCCTTTCTGCAAACACATTTTTATTGAAAACTTTACAGGAGCTAAAGTATCTACCCTCCCAATTACTGAAGAGAATATACATCATATCCGGTAGGCGGTAAATGGCAAATGTCTTGTAGTGGCGGCAACGGTCAAACAGCAAGGTCGTGCATGAACCAGAAACAGCGCTCTAATGGGAAATGACCTTTACTGCTGCTGTCTAGTAGTTGTGTTCCGGCGTAGCACGGGATACTTGGCTCGAAGGCCAGAGGAACTTCCGGTCTTATCGCGGTGGTTACCGGCCTCGCTTGTTCAGCACCAACTTGTCCGTGCTAAGTACCTGGGTACGTCAGAGTGTAGCTAGTGCCACGCGTGGCCTGCATGTTTCGCGAGCGTCTTTTCCTAAGAGATTCTTGTAGAGGGAGATAGTGGAGTTCTCTGTACAATCTGCTGCTTTGGGATGCCTTCAGACTTAATTCTGTATTCGCGCGAGCAGATTGCGAAGGAAAATGCTGCAATGTCGAAGAACGAAGAGGTGATAGGTGTGTGTTCCAATTTGCGTCAGGCCACCAGCCCGTACATTTGAGAATATCGTGTGGACTTGCAAACTATTGCTGCAAACTATGCTGCAAAATAGCGTAATAACTGGCTGCAAACTATTACGCTATTCTTTTGGATTTTTTACTTATTACGCAGATACATCGCAACCTGAATGGTTCATAGTGGCGATTAAGGCGCAAAATGAACCTTTTGAGCTTCCGATGAATCCTATAACGTAAGTGAAGTTACATTCGAAAATACCTGTATGTGCATTGCTATATCTGCAGTTAGCTGGAGGGACTTTCGTCAGCTACAGCAGTGCGCTGCTCCCGGCTGTGAACAACCTAAGCGTATCACAACAGGCTTGCTTTATTCGGTTCTAGATGGAACTGTCATGTCAGATTTAGTCGTTGCTATGGCTAAGCCCTGCACTTCCGCGGATGCTTTGGTTGCTTCAGGATTATGAGGAATGCGCTTATAGAGGAAGGAGGGAGTGGAGTGTCGGTAAACCGTGAAGCCTATGGACGTTCAGTGGAATATTGGAGCAAGCATGTGGTGGTTCAAGATGACAATGAGTGATGCCTGAATCCTGTTGTATTTGTTGGGAATTTGGGGGCGAAACTGTTTTCTTCTCCACTGTACAGCTTACATCCGTACCTCGTACCTCGGAAGCGTACATGCTGTTTGTGCTTGTCCGTTGCAACTTGTACGATGCACCGTGTTTCCTCGCCAACATTCACCACTTCGCATTTGTGCCGTGGAATTGTCTTGGTGACTGCTGGAGTGTTATTGCGCCAGTGGAAATTCCTCTAAGGAAAATCCGGGGCATCTGGAGCAGTCTGTAGACACCAGGATCTGCGTGCTTTGACTGTGTGCTAGCCTTTTTTGCTAACTACTTGAATGGTAGGCCCTAAGAACACTTCTAGGAACGTATGACTTCAAAATTTGCAACGGTAGACTTTAACCACCAAGGTATGGAACTTTGTCTCCTGGCTGCAGACACTCGATGCAGCCGAACGCTTCCAATTCGGAATCATGCTCAGGCTTGAATATCTTACCCATAACTCCGTAAGCACTGGGGGGCATGTTTGCAATGAGCTGTTTGCTGCCACCAAAGCGTAGCTGGGAGAGCCGTGCTGCTGTGCTCATGCTTTTCCGCGTAGTTTTTCCCGATACGTTGCCTTTCCCCACAACCGGTTGTTCTAAGTAGTTCTTCTCCACAGAAGCGATGTCGGTTTGCAGGATAGCTGTATTTGCCCTTGATGGTGAGTCGTCATCAGCTCCCCAACCTTCCACTATCTCAAAGTCGCCTTCAAAGTGCCGCATGCGCATATCTGTAAAATTGCGGTGTACTACAGTGTTGTGACAGTAGCCTAAGCTGACGTCACTAGGGCAGCAGTGACAATCATCCGTGCCATGCACTCCCCAGGAATTGCAGAATAGTGTCCTTCCCTTTTAGTGCCCATGCAGTGCAGCAGAAAGGTGGCACAGAATGCGCTGTTGGAAAAGGCTGAGCAACTCACCAGATGACGGTTGCCAAGCTTGAGTTGGGCATTCTCGTGTCAGCAGCTGCTTAGAAAGAGTGAAATCCACTTGTGACCTCATCCGTTGCAGAGCCGATCCTAAACCGCAAAATGAAATGTATGCGCTTAGGAGCAATTAGCTTCCGTTATTGCAAGCAGAGATTTAAAGCGCCTTGCTAGCTAGAAAGCTTACCAGTCCACGTAGTCGAGTTGAGGAATTCGTCGCATCGAGTGATACCAATTGTTAAGTCAAAGGGTCTAGGCGAATTGAAGTCGTACTCAAGGTAATCTGAATATGACACGGCAGCGTGTGCATTCACGCAGAAGACATACCCTGGCACAGCTTGCGCAATAGCAAGGAATGCTGCTACAAAGCAAACTAGGTATCTTGTTAGGGTATGGCGGGTCACCATCGTTGCTCTCCGGCATCTGCTCTCGGCTTTTGTTGATCATCCGCTTAAGAGCCAGCTTTCGTGAAACTGCACAAAAACGGCACAAATACGATTTTAACGTGTAGGGCCGGGCTTGAGCAAAGGTGCTACAATGCAACCTAGCAGCTCCTTTTATCCCATGGGCTACAGAGACGGCACCGTTAGAAGCCGGGAATTCACTGATTCCTACCCTCTCCCTCCGTTTCTTGCGCTCGCATTGTTTGAATGAAGATTTGAGAATGGCGTTTTCTGTTAAAGTCGCCTAAAGCGAGGGCAATGAACAGCGACTTTTGCGACAAAGTGAAGAAATGGCGTAACATGCAAATAAGGAACCGCAAGTGCTGCAAACTCCCGCGTTCTCCAAGCACGTCTGAGATGAGATCGTCGAACCTAAGTATATAAATAAGAGCTCAATTCGAACTCGGTACAGCTCCATAATCCCCAAAAGACCACTAACATTCAGACGCCGAACATTCAATATAGTAAACGCATGCAGCGACAAGGTGAGCTTTTGAAAGAGGCCTGTTTCCAGCATCACGTTTGGGGCCGGATACTTCAAATGGGTGCCTGGCAGTGATTTTAGATACCATGTTGCCGGGTTCCTCATGCGGTCTTCCAAGCAGCTCATGTAACAAGCTTTAAGCACTCCTTTAAGAGATGCAGGGCCTTCGCCAAACAAGAGGAGCTGCAACATTATGTCATCGTGTTCCCTGTAGCACAAATATTTTACCACTGTAGAGGTTCAGCGTTGCGTAATGTGCAGGATGAGCAGCTGAAGTCTCAAGATGGACCATTTACTGGCTCTTCCAAGTTTACTTTCCAGTAGTTGGAGAACTCACTGTGCCGGCCGCAAGCCAGAGGACCCTTCCACACGAGCATACAAGATGTCCTCTCCATGTGCACGTCGACGTTCTGTTCCTGAAACTTTCTGCTGGGAAAAGAATGAAAAGGGATGCGAGTGCTCTTCTTTGGAAGCCGACTGCGCCTTTTTGCTACTTCTGAGAGTTTTTGTGAGCCGCCCTGATTGAGCACTCGATGCCCCTTTGCTGCCCACGAGCAAGCGGGGATACCGAGTAAAACACACTCTTGTTCGATCCCGTGGTAATTGCTGCAGCAAAGCCTCGACAAAAACTCGGCCTTTTAGCAGACCCCAATTCAACCTAAAATTGTTTACGTGCTTCCGACTGGTATCATGAGACATTCAAAAACGATGTATGTACAAATTTAACTCTGTATCGCCGGGTCGGGAAGTGACGAATGTTCACCTTATATTCAGGCAGCTTGCCACCCTCATTGGACTCGTCGCCATCAGAATCGTCAACCTGGTCCCGCTCCATGAGGCCAAAAGGACGCAAACCAGCTGAGCAGCCCTGGGCGACGCAGGCTACGTAAATGCGATGTGCCAAGAGCTGCGGCAAACACATATGGTCGCTGCAAAGTTTCAAAAGCCTTCTGCAGGCGGCATTGGTGAATCAGCATAGAACCCAACGTCGAACCTTTCGTTGCTTCCAACGCGTCCACACAGGTCCATCCACCAAACCTACCCGGAGGACAGATATAGGAATGGAGCACAGCTTCAGTTTCAAGATTTGCTTGAGTGTGGAGAAAATCTGACGGAGGCGTTGCTTGCGGCCAAGTCCAGGTGGCTTATATATTTCGACAAGAACGTTGTCTTCCCGGAACAGCAGGCGCCGAAATAGGGCAAGAAAGAGCTGCTCCGCATCCTGTGCAGGCCCAAAACAACCTAATAAAGCAAAATATAAATTGTTAGAACGGGATCTTGTGGAAAATACAGTGAGTACTGTATCCCACTAGCGTATAACTTCAGTAGCCTGGGTGACATGCCAAACAGTGATCCTCATCGTACTGCCCTAGCCTGAATCATGCCTTGGTCGCGAAATAATTCCTCATATATTTCAAAGTCCTCAGCACCCAGAGGTTTCCAGAGCAAAGGCTCCTGAAGTTCAGAAGGGGCACCTGAAATGCCAGCTTCCTCCGTGAGTGCAGTAGGCCCACCAATTTTAAGTGGTGGGTTCTGAAGTGAAAGACAGCCTAACCGCATCTTCACTTCAGCTGCGTCACAGTAACTCATGCACAAGCGCACGAAGCTTTACTTCAGATCGCATGACTACCTCAAACCACCTTTTCCATCCACAATACGCGTGCGCCCGCCACTCGGGGCACTTCCGGGGTTGTGGACCGCTTCCACTTCCCCAATAATACATTACATATATGCACCTGTGAAGTGGGAAAAGGGTATTATAGCAAACCTGCAAGGTAGAGGGCTGACATTGTGGCTTCGTGATTCGTGCCGAGCTGGGCTTCGAGTCCCGCCAACATGGTTTGCGCCTCGACAGAAGCATTTTCCAGACGACCCATTCTGAAATGAATGAAACACGAATGCCCTCACAAGAGTAGACGCTGCAACTAAAACGCAAGTGGTCTAACACACTATCCCTCTAACTTTACTGTCCCGTCTTACCTTGCGAAAGCTGCAGCTAACCAGAATCGGCTCATGTGCGTCACGAGAGTTGGGAGCTCGGGATTCGTACTCGCCACTCTGACTGTGTGCTGCAAAATGATAATGGCTTCTGAGCACCGCTGAACTTCCAGCATGGATCGTGCTGCGTCTCACACCCATGCACACCACTGGCTCAATATTTTGGAAGGGAAATGCGCAAGCATCAAGAAGGACAAATGCTCAGTGACCGCTAAGGCAAACGGCTACTACAATTCCCTTGTGAATTTCATCTGAGGATCCTAGAGAAGTGGCTCACCGATGAGCCGTAGAGCAGCGACAGCAGCCCAATGAGCTCCTCCAGTATCGAAACACTAAAGTTCCACGCAGCGCACATATAGGCAGTGAAAAGTCTAGATATGTCAGCTTGCCTACCTGACCGTTCCACGTACTGCAATAGAGCTGTTAATGTAGGTTATGGATAGGACGGCTAGCAGTTTGCAACGCAAAAAGCAGCAGATGCAGTTTGTTATTACTGTAGTGGGCTCACTAACCACTGTCGATATTTTATGCACGCGAAAGGCATGAAGAATGGCGGAGTTGAACCTCTTGTTCTTGAAGGCAAAGGAGGCAAGCAACAGGTCGGCCAGCAGCAGTCTAAGGGACATTTTCCCCTCCATAGCAACTAAGACTGGCTTCAGGTTACGATAGCACAACAGAGCATCCTGGGGTTCATCTGCGAAAAGAGAGACAGAGCCACTGTCTCCACAACTTTCACAAGTAAATATGTGGCTGTCATCGGGGAGCTCCAGGGTGCCGACGCTAGGCGCACGAGTTAATACTGCTCACTTCCTCTTGTCGTGCATTGCATGTCAATGAGCAGCGCTTCTGACTGGAGAGACAGTGCATCCGGGATTTTTGAGTAGATGAACTCCGCAATGCTGGCAGCCGCCTTGACCTCATTGTGTTGCAGCATAACGTAGGCCGTCTGTTGCAAAATTTTTCCCAGCAAGAAAATATCACTCCCTGTAACGCAGTGAACTCACAGGAAACCGCGTGGTAAGTTCATGTTTGTGTGCCGGTCCTGCCTCACCACCACCTGGATTTGCCGTGGCACGGTGTTACCGATGGCTGCCTTCGATAGAAGAGCCACTGTTAAAGCGAGTTTTTTTCTCTTATATTTCAGGCACTGCTTCAGGGGAGATAGAGACTTATTCTCGTCGGCCGCCTCCAGAATAACTTCATGCAACGCCTCATCTTCATCCATTGCAAGGCAGTATGGGTGGCATGGGTATCCTGTTCCTGAAAGGTAACGGACAAGGCCGGCAGGTAAGCAAGCTCACATGTACTTTCAGGTCTGTACTCCTCTTAATATTGTCAGGAGGAAAAATTAGGGCCCATGCTGCCACTGGAAAGTTGATCTCTACAAGGTATTTTCCTGTAGATTCCTAAGGCGAATGCCAACTTAGTTGTTGCTGCACGTTCAACTGAAGCTGGCAGGCAAGAGTCTTACCAATAAGAGCCGCCCTCATTGCTCCACAAGCTCCGTGCATGGCGAAGTTGCCGCTCCCCCATATTTCCTCTTGGTTTGCTGGAATGGCAACGCCTAATAGGCAAGAGGCAATTTCCGCAGTGGCCTATTGAGTCTGTCTATCATGTGGGAACTCATTTTGCATCAAATGAAAATTTTAAGCATACTCAAAAATATGAACGCCCGATGGTTTCTAATATTTGAGCACTCACCAGCCTTCATACTGTCTAGAAGAACATCTAAAGAAGTGCTGCTGGCCCCAGCTACATTTGATGCAGTAGCTGCTTGCATAAGTGCCACCGTTTCGGGTGCAACGAGGTGGACTCTGGGATAGAACCCTCGAACCTCCCGTAGCTCCGCAAACTTTTGTAGTTTCTCCGCCGTGCCCGGAGCCCTTAGCTTGCTAGTCTCATCTTTATCCGCAGAAATATCTGGGGGCACATTTTGTGCAGGCACCATTGACGACAGGAATACTTGTTCTTCGACGCAGAGAATAATGCAAAAATGCCTTCTATACAGATATTTGATGCAAAAATGCCGGGGAAACACAACCGATTCCTGGCTAACATCCCTAAAATACAAGAAGCCGTGTTAGCTAAAATATGACCCTAACGTAATTTCACGAACTCGTTACTGATGAGTCTAACCGGCGTTTTCAAAGTGACGCATGCGGCGCTTGGCTGATCGTAGTTGCGTTTCCCAGTCTTCGCCCTCAATATCATTGTCGGCATCTGCATGGCAACCACCAGCGAGGGCCGCCCTCACCTGTGAAATGTGAGGGAAGAGCAGCGAATCCCGACGGCTAGTGAAGGTTGACAAATCAGCTACAGTTAATGGCAGGCGTAGTTCGAGAAACGCTTCGCCGGATGGTGTCGTTGAACGAGCAGCCACATTATTATCGAATTGGACACCTGAGGCAGGTAGACGCAATATGTTCGGGCAGTAACTGTTACTGAAGAAGTTCTAAGGACAACAACTGCCAGACAGTAAGGCGGAACGGCCCGGCCACGTCGAATGGAACTTTGGTCAGCAGCAAATGGACCTCCGGTGTATCATGAGGGCCTTCTCCGTGACAATCCACCTAGCCAGAAGCAGTTTTAGCACTACTTCAGTAGAAAGCCAACAAAGACGACCCAGCTCTGCAAGAGGCGTACTCAGGTTGTATTCCATAGCCTTGAAGAGGGAATAAGTGCAAACGCTCTCCGGAGACGCCATATCAGTTAGGTCGACCTTGTACCTGACAACGAAATTGGCATGTGCACAAATGTGTTCGGTCACGGCTGCTGTCTGAATTCCACGCCTTCTACTTGTATCTTGTCGAAATTAGAGTCTGCTTCCACTAAGTGTACAACCGAGCGAACCTCGCTAGGGCTAGAGGAAGTATTTGATGACGCCAAAATATCCTTGACTCTTCGTTGGTAGACAGAACCAAGTTGAAAAGCTTCACCACCAAGCTGAGAGGTGGCATTCACAAAAGCGGCCCAAACGCCCCCAACACGGAAACTGAATGGGATAAACAGTTGACTCACTTGCACTGAAACTTATGCTATTTATCCCAATTGCCAATTTCTGCTATCTGTAAAGGCAAACACTACGAACACTGGCTTCTCACAAGAAGTACCAAACTGCTGTGCAGTGCCCCACTATTCACGAGCTCACCGATGAATTTCCTCCATGTGGCTGGTATCAATCATTCCACCTCCAGCAAGCTTTTCAACTTGCAGGCGGAATAAGTGTTTGGCGGATCTGGCAATAACCTCCCGTATAATGGCGTCTTTAAATGGAGAAGCTGGATCGTGTTTTAATAGTTGTGCCAGATTTCTGCAGACAGCAGGACAAGGTGCCGGTCCCATGCACGTACATGGCTCATGGAACTCCTCGGCATAAACTCTTAGAGTGCCTAACCTAATATTGACTCCATGGGTATGGAGGGCGTGTGCAACGTCGCGTGAGTCCAAGAAGTTCTTTTGCAGCGCGTTGATGGCAGGCACAAGATCCTGCTTGATAGTGAGTTCCAATGAGCGCGCAGCTACAGAAAGCGCCTCCAGTGTTCCCCGTAACGTCGTGTGCTGCTGAACAAACTTCGAGGCACGTACTGAGAAGAGAACACAAAAACACTGCGCAGGGGCATCGGCTCACAGGGGTCTACACGGGCATCGAAGGAATAATTGAAACATGAATGGGGCAAAATATTAAATCGGCGCTTACTCTCTGCGGCTCTGTGCTGCTCCCTGCTCGTGCAAGGCAAAGCAACATCAAAGACACGAGAAAGAAACGTCTGTCGGAACCTTTGTTCCTGTGCAGCCCACAGAGAAAAAACACGCAAGGTACTGCGACCGCACTTCAGCGGCCAAAGTGTTCCCTGTGCAACAACTGGACCCTCTGTTTTCGTGTCGTGTGGCCTGCATGGGAGGGAAGACGAATAACCAGGGAAGACCTCGTACCGGCAAAACTCGTCCGTTAGCGCACTTCGGGGGTAGTGATTCATGAAGGTTCCGGAAAATGCAGAAGTGGTCAATCTGAGACCTCCACAGGGCGGCTGGAGGCAAAGGCAAGTCAAAGTCTGAAGCGCCGCGGGGGAATGGGTAGTCCTGAGCCATCATGCGTAAAGGGGCCAAAAAGCTCCTGTCGTAGCCTGCAATGATGCGCTGAGTAGCCAGCTCTGCGTCCCTCATGGCTGACACTACTTTGTGGTGCGGCAGCAGTGCACTCAACCGGTCGTGAACCGGTCGTCCAATGGAGCCAATAGCAACGTCTTCACGAGAATGAAAGGGAAAAGCTTTAATGGGGGGCCACAACCACAAGGGGGGCCCTAGAGGCTTACCGCCAAGTTCAGAAAGCCGGCAATGTTCTTGAACTTGTGATAGGTTGCTCGGTCTACTTTGTCCAAGGCATCAAAACAACCGAGTGGGTTGCCAATGTCTCCACACTGCTGTACAAAGTCGGGTAGGCACCGACGAATGTCCGCTACCAGTTCTTCCAAGACGTTGACAGGAGCGGGGCTGCCAAGACAAGAAAGGAGCATGGCAAGGCATAGGCAGTAGTCTGGCTCGAATACAAATTGCGGTTCCAACCTCTGAAGGGGATTTGGAGACACAGTGGATTCTCACGTTAAGGGCAAAAGTGGCTCCACTAGGACAGCGAAGCCAGCATAATCAACAAGACAAGCAATTGGAAGCCCGAGTTTGGCACGCTCAAATTTATTTTGGTCGTGTAAGTTCCAGGCGGTATCTACTTGTTGCCGTAGGTCACGCTGATGATTGCTTTGAAGCTGAAAACGATTTTGCAGACGCCAATCTGCCTCTGTCCGGGCGAAAGCGGTCGCATACACTGCATCGGCCACTGCCTGCCGGCCCTTCAAGTCATTTTGATAGACTTCCTTCGCAAAATGCTGTTTGATGTTTGCTTGACTGTCTCCTACAATGACCGTCAGGACCATACTGTCGAAGACGTAAACTTCATCTGTCGAGACCCAGGCGGAAAAGAACGTGCCTAACTTGGAGTTTGGTTCGGCAGTACTCTCACGGTCTTATCCTTAAGAATGTGGTGGATGGCGAGAGCTTTCAATGGTTTCGACGCCCAGCATGGGATTGGGGGTAGCATATCTCCTGATATATCGCAAGCTTACCGTCTGAAAACTTTGGTTGGTAGACGCGCCACAAGGTAGAGTGCTCCTCGGGCCTTATGCGTATGAAGCACTGGGACGGCCCTTTTCGTTGTTGTTTCTCCTGGATCCCCAGTTTCAACTTTTCCGTGGAACCAACTCGTTCTTCCAATGCCAGAGAGTGAAGCAACACTACTGCGGCAGCACGGGCAGCTGCCGCGAACGATCCAATCTCGCTGCACGACGCAGTTGAATGCAATACTGTGCCACACGCATGTCGACTGTGCAAGTATGGCCAACCAAAAGAAGTAAAGTTCTAGTTCTCCAGAATAGTGCATTATCATTTGCTGTGTAGTGGGCAGGGGTATAATGCTAATACCAAGTATGGCCAACCAAAAGAAGTAAAGTTCTAGTTCTCCAGAATAGTGCATTTTCATTTGCTGTGTAGTCGGCAGGGGTATAATGCTAATACCGATGCAGTATACATCGAACTACAGCCACGTTGCTCGAAACACTGACACGGCTTACTTATTGAGGGCTAGCTCGCGTTCGAAAAGTCGTCTTCTGAGCTGGTTGGCTGACCTCGAGTCCTGAGACTCTCGGAGGATGAGCACCCGCTGAAATGCCCACTGCAGGCGATCGTGCCAGTTACTGCTGAAAACAGAATTCTCATTGGGTCCCTGCGTTACAACAAATAAACCGCACAAAGGGACAATTGTTAAGTAAGAGCTTATGGATTAGAGTTGAACTATGCGTCGGCAAAGCTCGGCTACATTTCCGGACGTTTAACTAGTAAATAAGGCCAAAGTCTAGTGCTCCCTCTTCATGGCCCTAGGATGGGTGGGTTTCCCGGGGCTGTGCGGCCAGAACTCCAACACAACAGACTGTTTGGTAGCCATGTCATATTGACTGTTTGCATACTGCACAAGTGAAATGCATACTGGAGCAAGCTCATCTTGGATCTCATGGGTGCCTGCAAAAGCTTCCTCTGGAGCTGTTTCGTATGAAGCGAGTAGAGGCCTCCTTGCCACCTTTGCCATTGAAGCTCTCCACCAGCTTCCAGCCTGCTCGCTGATACTCTCCTTAAGACGAAATATGAGCTCGCTGACAACGCTCTCCGAGTCATCTGGTCCCTGGAAGTGTTGCCACGGGGTGCCCTTGTGTTCCTGAGGAATTTCAGTTGTTGCCTTGCTTCCAGCTTTGCGTGCGTCGTGTGTCTGCTCCGGGCTTCCATCCTCACTCAAGTATCCTGAAAAACTCGCTGGCATTATTGCAGAATCATTCGATAAGCCTAATCATCTACCCTACTTCATCCTCATTCACAACTACAGGACAACCAATCACGGCTGACGAGGCTTGCATGACCTGCTGGGACGGGCCATTCGGCGGGGGTTAAGGAAAGCTAGACACTGTTAAAATTGAGTTGAAACATTGATCCATATGGTCTAGTAAGGCGATGCTTGTGGATAAGCCCAAGTTCTGGCCGTGGTGAGCTCAGTGGTACTAAAGCTGCTGCACGACCTCAACAACAGGTGTAGTGCACGAGCACTACAATAGGCTTTTCGCTGAGTCTCTGGCGAGTGAATTCGTCATAGAGCACAATATAAAGAATATTCAGTATTTAATGGGGAGTTCTTATACAGCAAGTGTGGCCGAATGGGCAACTCTTCCTTACAGCCCGTAGGACGGGGCTGGCGAGCCCGCGACGCTTCCCTCTTGGAGGGTGAGGCGGGCGGCACTGCCCCTCTTTGAAAGGGACAGACTTGAAGAAACTGGAATTTTGGGCTTTTTATCAATCGGAGTTTGGTATTTTACGGTTTCTAGAGATATGTTCGCAGAGATAGGAGTTAGATAAGTAGTGTGCACCTAAGTTGCCCAAGCTTGAGATATACGTAGTGTCAACTGAGTGACTGGTCTGCTCACCAACTTTTGGGGGCCGTTGCGGGAGAATTTTCTAACACGAGATCTCTTGCATTCGATATTGAGTAAGCAATTACAGTCATTGTTGCGTAGAATTGAGGTAGGATATTGGCAGTCAGATACTGACGAACACATGGACCTGCACAGGGGGAAGATCACAGGTGCTGCCTAGACGAACAGAAGAAGCAAAGCGGACAGCAGGTTATGAATCAGAAAGTGAAATGGGTGAAGAAGGCAACGAACCCACCATCCTACGCTCTACAAAAAATCCACAAAAGCCTCCAGGAAGCAAATCAGCAGAGAGAACAATGTCAGCGTATGTTTAAAACCCTGGACGATGCAACCCTCGAGAGGGAAGCCCCTTTGAATGGCCTGCAACGACGAATGGAAACTCACGTTGGGCTTGAAGGTGGGAATAGCATGTTCGTCTTCTTCCGGACCTTACAGCTGGAATTTGAATTGTCAGGGTTACCCCCGTGAGACGTGGCCAGCTAAACTGCGTAGATACATGAAATGGAATGCAATGAACTTTTCGTTCCAGCAGTGGGACTCTGGGGTTGATATGATGGATTGGGGCACTGTCAAACGCTTAATGCTTACTAGATACTGCGGAGTTTCCGGGGAAAAGATGACGAGGCACTTATCAAACATTAAGTGGCAGGGGAATGCGGTGGGGTACGCCGCCGAGTTCGCCAAAATTTTAAGTGCTGGGCTGCCCCTACCCCTCGACCAGCTTGTTAATATCTTCTTAGCAAGCTTGCCTGACATTCCTTGTGGCAATGCCCATCACGTTAGGAGTCTTACCCACGGGGAGGAGAAACTTGTACGAAGTGTGGAAGTATGGGCCAGTACGCTAAGCATTGTACGGACTGGAGGCAGTCCGGAGCAAACCCTAGTCAACTGCATCTTCGAACTACCGCAAGCAGCAGGCTTTTGAACGACAAAGCCTAAACGCGTGCCCTGGGGCAGAACAGGGAAAGGGCGTGCTATGTATGCGGCTGCAAAAGAATATAACTGCATTTCAGTCTCCCCAGGGTAGGGAAAGGAGCTGATACGCGAGAGCAGAACCGTAATAGAAGAGGCTGCTGACTCTAAGGAGACCGCGCAAGCGGCAGAGGCGAAGCCTGAGGTAGAGACAACTAGGGATGAAGTAGACGAGAAGCGACGAGGAGAAAACACCATCTGCAGAAGGAACACAGAAGGAGCGGAAGACCCTGATAACCCGACTGATGATGGTGTCGCGATGCCATGTTGGGGAGAGGCTGGTGAGACAGCAGAGTAGGAAATGTGCGGAATGTTGTGCAGGGTGGGCACTACCGCCATTCTTAAGGTAGAAGTGGCTGGGATTCAATGCCAGGCCCTTTTGGATACGGGAGCACCCAGGAATTTTAATTAATCAGAAAACCGTGGAACGTCTGCAGCTGAAGCAGCTGCGACTGTCAGAACAGTGTATATTTGTTGTAGCTAGTGAGGAACAGTTGCGTATTGCTTGCGTCATAGGGATATTGACGATGAGGTGTGGCTGAGAGTGCTTAACAGGAGATTTCCTAGTTGGACCTGTGCTGCATGGTGTAATTTTGGAGCTTCACTGGTTAATTGCCTAAAGAGTAGCTTGGGACTTTCAACCAGATAAGCTGAGAATACCTATGCAAATGCCAAGTGGTGTGACCGATCTTGAGGGCTAGTGCGGAAAAACAGAAGGGGGGGGCAGCACAAAGGAGATGCGCCAGAGGACCCATGCAGAGCAGGCTTTTGGCAACATAGCCCGGCAAGTGGCGGGTATGTCACCGGAGGAGGTGCCCATACTCTTAGGGCCGGCACCTGAAATTTACAAGGCCCGCACGAGAGCGTCAGCGAATGTACCAGGTGATCCTATAGTTCAGCAGGCTAAAGCAAATATGCTGGAAAGTACTGATGAGGTGGATAGTGGCTCCACCAGAGGTCACAGAGACAGTGGATTTACACCTTAGAACAGCGACGTAAGGGGCTTTGTGTTGCGAACTGACTGGGTTTTGCCCCATGACGGATAGACGTATCCAATGTAGATATCCTATAGCTGACTCTACTGTGGAAGGGGACGGGGAGGAACCACAGTGGGCTGAAACCAAACTTGTACTCCTTCAATATGATGAATGGAAGGCTACAGAAGAGGCGTCAGGCATACCCGCTGAGATATACCAGGTTTTGAGGGAACATTGAAAGCCCGTCACCTCCGGATCCTCTTAAGACCCTCGATTGGGAAACAGGTTATTTCAAGTGTCTCATTTTTCGCGATCCGTACAGCCTCACCGAACAGCAGTCGGCGGAGGCAGACCCAATTCAGTTCCTTGACCGTAAACTGGCCTTCCGTTTAGTGGCGCTGCATTGATATCTGGTGAGGGTCGCTAGCGTATTAAAAACACGGCCCACCTGCCCAGAAGGTCAGCAACAAAAGCCACGAAACACTATCAAATCCGGACACTTGCAGGGCCTTCCGGCCCCCGAACAGACGTAGATGGACATCTCAATGGATTGGCTAAAGGGCTTACCATCGAGCAGAAAGCTATGAAAGCGTCGAAATTGTAGTGAACCGGCTCAGCGAGTTTGCCCACTTTATCGCCAATAATTAGCTTACAGTAGAAGGAGTGTCCGAACTATTCATTACTTGTCTCTGGGAGTTTCATGGCATCCAGAAACGTATCCTTATTGACAAGTATCCGTAGTTCGTTTGCGCCTTCTGAAGCAAAGCCATGGAAGGGATTGGCATCAGCAATAGTATAGCCACAGAAAAGCCTCAGGAGACAGATGCTCACGCTGAATGCACCAACAGCACGTTAGTTCGGTATTTGAGACTCTCTACCCACAAGAAACCCTCAGGGTGCCTTAATTTCCTCCCTTGTCAGGAATGGGCTGATCTATCCCCAACCCGTTCATTTCCTTCTTCTCCATAGCCTGTTCCCGGGCCGACCCAGGGATGAACCCACATCGCAGCGCAAGCGGGAAGGCATGCATAGTCCAGATGTACTCAACAAAAGCCGTAACCTTGCTTAGATACAGCCGAATTTGTCGTGCCTCCATCTCCATTATCGAGGATGCCACTATGCAACTGCAGTTCTTCTGGCGCTTTCTGTAGGCGCCAGTAAGCTCTGGAGAGACGAGGAAGCCCTCCACAGGTCGCGCATCCGTGCTGTATCGTAGATGAATCGCCAGCAAAGCTGAGGCATTCTTGGTGAACTGGTTGTGCTACAAGAGGGTTTTGTGTTGGATATAGAAGTTGAGCAAGCTTCACCTCGACGAGGCTTCCTATGGTTGGTCGACTCAACACGAGAGCATCTCCTGGTGCGTGTCCGTGTTGCACGAGAAGCAAAATGTTGAAATTGAACACAAAATTTTGGGAACTTCGAAGTGATATTCGTCTGTATGCGTGTATCTTTTTGGCGCCTTCAGTAGTACTAACAGCTGTGTAGCGCGCCTCGCTGCCTTGCGGGTGAAGTTGTTCCATCCTGCACCCCTTTAAACATGCAGTGTTGCGAACTGTAACCCAGTGCCCAGGACCTTATGCCTGGAGTATTGTAAGGCACCAACAAGGCAAAATAGTTAAGCCGATAGTACCTTAAATGCATCCGGCCTCCTTCCCCAGTTCCCAGGCGTCCTGAGCTCAGCGTCTCAAGCGCCTGGACTGGCGGGAAAGGAGATGGCCTGCGATGTGTTGCAACGCACCTTACCGCAACTGAAGGTGCTTGACAGCATCCTCCTCCCCCCCCCCCCCCCCCCCCCCCCCCCCCC